TGTCCAGAGCAATGGTTCACACACTTGTGCTTTGTGGTTTGGTTTTGAATTTTTGTGATGGGATCTTACTTTATTCCAGGCATCCTTAATAAACTCATGCCAATTTCCTGCCTCAGTCTCCCATGCACTGGCATCCCGAGGATGCTCCTCAGTACTGAAAACTCTGCAGAAGACTTGATCAGATAGATGTGGGAAGGAACAAGGGGAAACTTGAGCTCCAGGAAGCACCGGTTTTTCTGAGGGAATTTATTATCGACACTCAGTGCCAGTGTTCACCAGTGGAATCTCTTTTGTGGAATTTCTGTTCTTGGAAAGCAGTTATAACGATGAGCTGGCTAGAGACTTGATACTTACTGTACATGGAAAGGCCCACCCTTCAGGTGCCTTGGAGAATGCCAGGGGGAGCCTGTGGTGAATGACACAGGGATGTGAACAAGGGCAAAAAAGACCCTGAAGAGGTTAAAGGGTAAATCATAAGATTTGGGGGCTTGTTTGCAGATGGTGGAAACCCCCGGGTTCCATCCTAGCTCTGGGAAGCAAAATAAACAGATAGCCTGGTCACCTGACCCAATTCTAGAGTGGGCACTGGGGTACCTAATAAAATATTGGAGGGGGGGGAATGAGGTGGTGTAGCCTGGCAAATATCCCAAGTCTTCAGGATCTAAATGAAAACTGGGATTTTTTTGAAGCTAGTGAGGTAGATTTATGCATCCCTGTCTCTCTTTAAACCCAGTGTAGCTCAGGCTGGCCTTGAACCTTGCTCCTGTCAGAGTGTCTACCCAGGTATGTGTGATTGGGACTTGCCTCATTGTGGTTATGTTTTTCTGGTTTTTGTTTGGTTTGTAATAAAACAAATGCCCTGTCACATGCCTGTGAGTCCAGTAATTGGAAGGACAAGGCAGGTAGGTTTCCATGAGTTTGAGGTTCCTACATTGATCTAAAGGAGCATTTCTCAAAAACATTAATTATGGCCTATGATGAAATACTTTGAATATCAGAGATTATACCATTTCATAGTTATATGAACATTCTTGTATTCTAGTTCCAGGCATCCATGATACAATCACTTAAGCTTAGTAAATATTGCTAATAGTCTTCTTAGACTGAATAAAACTCCACTGTGTACGAATATCTTATTGAACAGCAGCACAAATGCTGGTGCCCTACACCTTGGATACCGGGACTAGAGCCACAATAAACATGGCTGGTGTGTAGGCATCTCTTGTGATTTAGCTTTCTTTCCCTCCTTCTTTCCTTCTTTTTACTGCATTTACTTGTGAATTGTCTTGACTACCAGGCTTGCTCTGCAAGCAGCTGTACCTGGTGAGCCATCTTGACTGCACTAGATTCATTGGGATGCATAGGTCATTTATCTGGTTCATGTGGTACTTGCAGTTTCTTCATACTAATTTCATGGTGAGTGTGTGTTACATGGTACCCACAGGGAGATGAATCACTATTCTCAAGAACTGGAAACTATGTGTGGAGCCCTGGCTAGCTTGAACTCAGGAATGGTCCTCCTTCCTCCACTCCCATGCTTAGCTTACAGGAATTTGCCTGAGTAGGGAGGTCAGCAGGATGGCTGAGGAGACAGCGCAGGAATTGTTTTGTCTAATGAAGCTGTCATGGCTTACTCAAAAGTCAAATGTGTTTGGAGATGGCTACTTCATTCCTATGTATAATGTATACATATATTTTATTTTTATGGAGACAGGGTTTCCCTGTAGCTTTGGAGCCTGTCCTGGAAATCAGTAGATCAGGCTGGCCTTGAACTCACAAATCTGTGTGTTTCGGCTTCCTCAGTGCTGGGATTAAAGACATGCGCCTCTATCACCCAGCGCCATTTCTATATATTTGAGGCAGTCCTCCCATCATAATATGCTAGGAGCATTTTAACTTCCTCGTGGACCTGCTCTTGTTTCTTCTTAGGCCTGCTTTTGTTTTTCCACACCTCTCCACACCAAGCTAAGAATAGATTTGCTTTGGCTACTTAAGAAGTCACCAGGTTTGACAGTCACTAGGCCTGATGAGCCAGCAGGCTAGGGAAGAACAATAGGGTTTGTTCATGGGGAGCACACTAGCACTTGGTTAGACAGCCGATTCTCTGTAACCCTACTGCCAAACAGGGTTTCTCTGTAACCCTGGCTATCCTGGAGCTTACTCTGAAGACTAGGCTGGCTTTGAACACAGAGATCTGCCTCCTTCTCTCTCCTGAGTGCAGAGATTAAAGGTGTGCACAACCACCACCACCACCCAGCATGTTGCTTTTAATTTGTCTGTGTGTCTGTGTGTGGGTAATGTGCACATGAGTGCCAAAGGCATTGAGCTCCAGGACTCCTCCTAGAGCTGGATTCCACTGCAGTTGATCTGGAACTGGAACAGGAGTCCTGCAAGATCAGAGCATTTTCACCACGGAACCATCCAGTGCCTTCTGTGGGTTTTTAATCCCTTGATTTGGATTACAGGCCAACCACATGGAAAGCTCACTGAATATTATATGTAGAATCCCTTGTAAGGGGTTGCTTTTTTACCTCTTGAAAAGGAAAGGGTTTGTTTGGTGTTTTTGTTTGTTTGTTTGGTAGGGTTTCTTTGGTTTTTCAAGACATAGTTTCTCTGTGTAGCTTTGGAGCCTATCCTGGCACTCGCTCTGGAGACCAGGCTATGGTTTGTGTTCTTTATGGAAAATAGTGCAGCCTTAAAAGCTCATGCTCTGGACAGGATTTATAGATCTCACTGCTGTGAATGAAACCAGGCGCAGGAGCACAAATGAACTATATTCTCAGTCCCTGATGGAGAACTGTTGTCTTTTTAAAGATTTGTTTTCATTTTTATGGGTGTAAGAATCTTGCTTAGATGTTTCTAAGTGCACTGCCTGCTTATCTGATGATGGGAGAAGCCAGAAGAGGGAGCTGGGAGCACGTCTCAAAAGGGGAAAAAAAAAAAAAGATTAAAAGAATCGTGTTTAGATGACTGAGGTTATAGGTCAGTAGCAGAGCCTTTGGGTAGCATGCACAAAGCACTGGTCCATACTTCAAGTTTGCCTGGGAATTTCAGTGCCACAATGGACTATATCCTTGGCTGTATATGTGTGTATGAATCTGTTACATATGACAGATTCCATTTTCAACAGGTTGATGAAAATTAATCATCTATGTAAGTAACCCTGGGATCAAGAGATAAACAAGTTCAGCTGGTTCAATGGATCCAGTTTAATTTCTGAGCAGCCACATGGTAGCCTACAGACCCTGCAATTCCACTTCCAGGTGTTCTGACACCCTCTTCTGCCCAGGACAGGTTCCTGCACACGTGATGGCACACATACATCTAGGAACACACAGCGATCAAACCCATAAACATTAAATAAGCAAATTATTTAATCTTGAAAGTCTTAATTCATATATAAGCATAAATATAGTATGTAGAATGCTAATTCTGATATACAATTGTGGCTCCAAGGCCATGACTAAGTCTAATGGAACCTCCACTTGTGGAGTCCATTTAAATGAAAACACTCATAAATAATATTTGGGAATGTGGGCGTCATTCTTTCCAAACTGCTTCCTGCTGATCGGGGGCACTGAAATACCATCGGGATCCTAAGAAAACCCAGAAATCCTGACTGTAGTGGTCTGGCTGCATAGTCCCAGGTGTCTTCGATGTTGCATCTCTTGGCCATTGCTTTAGGGGGGTCTTCATCAAACCCTGATAGTCTGGAAGGAATCCACAGCTTTTCATTTTCTTTGGAAACACAAGCAGAAATTCTTTTCCCAAGTAATGTGTCCTTATACTTAAATTTTGAAGTCAAAGTGGTTTTGAAATATGTAAGTTGAATTAATCCAACAAGCAAGCCTGTTTTAGCAGTTATTCATTCCTTGGCAATTGAGCAATTCAAAGACAGCACAATACCATTCAGTATTTGGACTCTGTATATTCTTTTATTATTCTATTTGTTTTTTACTTCTCATTTTCTATTCTATTTTTTTGTTTTGTTTTCATTTTCTTTTTGAGACAGGACTTCTCTATTTCCAATCCAACTCTCAGGACTTGAGGCCCCCTTTTTGTACCTTTACTAATCTTCCCTCAAAAATCCTTAATTGCTGGCCAGCCTTCCGAGGGTGATCTCTCAGGGTCCTCCCTTTCTTTTCTAATCTGGGTGGAACTTCCCCCACTATGACTAAGTCCAAGTATCACGTGAAAGCCTGGATGTTTAGTTAAAAGCAGAGACGTCTGGCCACTTGTGCTATATGCATCTGTCACAACTTGTTCCAGAGAGAGAGCAGTCTTATATACACTTAGAGTACAGTGGTGAAACCCCAGGTGTAATTGATGCCAGTAGGCAAGGCCGGAATTGTAAGCCAGGACTGGAAAACAGGATACATCCGTGGTTATTGGCTGACAAGCAACTCAAGGGACCCAGTGGGGGCTGTGGCAAAGCAAGAATAATTAGAATAATTGTTGGTGGGAGTCTTTCCTAAAACTACTAAAGTTCATTCCTGAAGCAACACACTTAAGATTTGCACCATACCCTCCATCTTTTGTGATGCTAGGTATTGAACTGAGCCCCACATATCCTTTGCCAAGTTTTGACCATTGAACAAATGTACTACTTGTGATTGCTTGATTGACTGGAGTGTCTCTATGTAGTTCTGGCCAACATTACAGTCATAGACCAAACAGGTTTATATGTATATGACTCCGTCCCTGGGAGTCAGGAGTGAACTGCTATGTGTGGTTTAAGTGGAGGTGGAGGCAGACTGAAGATATCAGGTCTAGGATTTAACAAATGCTATTGAAACCCTGCCTCTAAGCTCATTTTAAGTACTATTAAGTTGTTGAACTCCAGCTGGACATAGTGGCCCTCACCTGTAATCCAAGTATTGACACTTGGTCAGGTGCCTTGCCATAAACTCTAAGCTTGCCTGGATACATAGCAAAGAGCCTGTGAAGTAGATGTCTCGTTTCAGCAGGTAATGGGAAACATTTCTGTGCTTGCTTTACAGAGAGACGATAACAAATCAGTAAATGGCCCCAAGCCAGAGTCCATGGCATACAGCCAATGTGGTCATGGGGAAGAAGGGCACAGATTGGATTGGATCGCACATCCCCTTGAAAATGTTGGGAAGAATACTAAAAGCATGACGGCAATTGAGGTGGGGCAGTGGACGCCAACCAAGAGAGCCCACTTCTCGGGTCAAGTCAAGGGAGACCTCGATGCAAATTTAACCGAGGTTGTAAGTTCCCAGTCCTTTGAAGAGGACAGGCAAGAAACCAAACCTTCCCCTATGTTTGCACAGACCATGAGAAACGTCATAAAAAATGTGCACTGTTTACCTGCCGACACAAATCTTCTAATCAACAAATTGGATCTCCAGGAAATCAGCAAGGTATTGGGAAATACCTCTAAATTTCCGACTAACTCCGCAAACTGCAAGGATGTCATGAGCTCCATCACTGCTGATGGTTGTGATCAACTAAAGGACACAAATAACATCTTCCTCTTCCAGAAGCCTGACTTGAACTGCCAATCTGGTGTAAATTCCACCAACTTCAATCATCCTACCACACACAGTGCTGCTAGTCAACCCCAAACCCCTGACAAGGTACATAGTAAGGAACCTAAAGAGGACTCTCCAGTTCAGCCTAGTCTTTTATCAATAATAAAAGACAGGAGATTGACACTTGAACAAGTGGTAGCCATCGAAGCCCTTACTCAGCTCTCAGAGGCTCCATCAGAGAATTCCTCACCATCAAAGTCAGAGAAGGATGAAAAGACAGATCAGACAACAGCTAGTCTGCTTCATAGTTGTAAGGCGCTCCTTAATTATGTGAGAAAAGACCTCCAGGACCCAAACTCACAAGGGAAGTGTCTTCAGCACCCAGACACTGTGGTCTTCAATGGTCAGATCACAACAATCAAGTTGTTGGATAGCTCAGCTACCAACCAAGAACTTGAAAACTCCTGTGGACATGCCAATACACTTAAAGAGGGTAGGAAATGCATTGCTGGAGGCAAATTGACCATTGTTAAAGATGCACATTATACAGAAATTGAAGAAGATGTGGCAGCTCAATTGACACAGCTTGCATCCCACATTAATCTCACTACTGCAGAAAGTAAGAATGCTGAATGTCCACTGGGGAGCCTTGTTTCAAAGACTATCCAGGAGAAGGGCATAGTACAACAGAAACCACCTTCAGATATACTAACCAAACCTAGTATACCGATAGCAAAGCCAAAGAACAAGACCCGGAAAAAAGCAAAAACGACCCCCAAAACAGACAAGCCGAAAAAGGAACCGCTAGTCTCCCTTAGCTCTCAGGAAAATGATAAGCAAGAGCAGTTTGCAACCAAGTACAGTAAAATGCATGACATTTGGATGTCATGCAAATTTCAAAGATTTGGCCAGTCTGGTCCACATGATGTTCCTCTTTTGCTGGGAAATATTCCTACCTTTGAGGAGATATTAACACCGGTGGTTCATAGTAGAGACATATTAGGCTTGAAAAACAATACCCTATTTCCTCCTGTCAGTCAGATACAATTCAGAAGGTACTCTGAATCAGCCAAGGAGGAAGTGAAAGTTGAGCCACAGGAGTCTCTACCATCATGCCAGTTCAAGACTGAATCCAGCAGGCAGGTATTTGCAGACCTGGCAGATCGAGCTCAGGTAGAGCCCAGGGAGAACATCAGTGAGAAAGCTCAGCCTCTGCCACAGCCTTCCCCTCCATCTAACCAGTGTGCTAACATGCCTGGTGCTGATAAAACGCAGTTTCACTTATGTGCTCAAGAGAACCTGGTGCATCAGATACCACCATCGTTGCCTGGTACCTCTCCTGACACACCCTTTCCAGAGCTCTTGTCCATCCTCAGCAAAGACAATGTGACAAATTCAAATGGGATTACACTTGGGATGGCAAAGTGGGAACTACAAACACCGAGCAATGGACCACTGGGGGACTCCATCACACACAGTGCACAGACAGATTTCAATGAGACCATCAGGAACTGCCTTAGGGAACCTGCGACATTGCTGCTACCTGGAGCGAATGAAGAGAAGGACTCTGTCTTGGAAGGGCCCCCCTGTGACTGTAAAGGTGAGTGCTCATTTGTGTGGCATCTCCACCACGACTAAGTCTGAGTATTGGGCAAAAGCCTGGAGATTTACTTAAAAGCAGAGACATCCGGCTGCTTGCGCTGCTTCAGTCTGTCTGACCTTGTTCCGTGGGAGAGCACCATTATATACACTTACAGCACAGTGGAGAAACCCCAGGTGTAATTGATGCCTGTGGACAAGGCCAGGGCTGTAAGCAGGACTAGAAAACAGGATGCACCTGTGGTTATTGGCTGATCAGCAACTCACAGAGACCCTGTAGGGGCTGGGCACAAAACCTCCCCCTTCTTTATATATAGATTAGTGCCTGTCTTTGGTGACCAGGACGTTGATGCCAACCTTCCCCATCAATGGAGAAATCACTCAGGCTGCATGACTCTGTCTTAGTCTTGCTGGCATCCCCTTTGGTCTCACCCATTATCTGCTGCCTAATTTTTCTGTAGGCTCAACCATAGTTGAGCTGAAGGATTCTCTGTGGCTCTCGTGTGACCAATTGAACTTGGCTTGTCTATCCCTGAGGCACCTCAGCCAAATGAAGCATATGATAACAAGTCCTATGACTACAAGGCCCAGAGAAAATGACCCAGTCCATTCTTTGACTAAAGGCCTGCCATCTGCAATCCCCTAAGGAGGATCTCTCCAGAGGATGGAGTAAACCGGGTCTCATTTACCCTAATAATTTAATTGGCCAATTGATGAGTATAATTTGTCCATTATGATTTAAGCTTCCTACCCAGACTAAGTTATTTATGGAGTTCTGAATGCTTAGAGCCTCTGTTGCTTCCCCTGCCAGTTTACCACCAGGTTGGTTGTAGTTACTGACTGTAAGATGGCAACCCCAGATACAGTGGCTCCTGTAGCAGCAATAGCTGCAATCACCCCAACAGTGATGCCAAGTCTTTTTGTCTATCAACTTGCCAGATGAATCCTCTGTTTAGAAACTGGAACTCTGGAACCCACTGCCCTCTTTATTTCACAGAATATAGATTTGATGACATCAAAGGTCAGAAACACTGGTTCAGTCTATCTCACTCGAACTGTCTTGGGCAGGCCCTCAGGGTTTTAGGTCTGAATTTTTTCTGCTGTATGGATCTCAAACTTTCTGGCAGCCATCCAGATTTATTCTTTTCCTGCAAGCAAACACAAACGTGCCCTTGGCACCAAATTAGAGACGGATCGGGTCTTCTCCACTGTCTAATGTATTAGGTGGAGACTGGGGACATTTCTTCCCCCTTCTTTTTATCTGTTCAAGTTACGTTTTCAAGGAGCTAAGAGCACACTCCACAATTTCCCGTCCCCAAGGATTACAAGGAACGCCTGTTTTGTGATCAATTTTCTATTGAGTACAAAATAGCGGAAATGCCCTACCAGAACATCCAGATGCATTGTCCGTTCTATCATGTCTGAAACTCCCATGTAAGCAAAACATTCAACCATAACTTATATGCCTAATGGCTTCTCCAGTTTGTGCAGTGGCCATCAAGAAGCCTGAATACATCTAAATTACCCCATGCATACATTTTTACTTGCTAAACTCTGCACTATGAGTAAAATCCATTTGTCCTAAATTAAGAAGCAGGCCTCCAGGGTTCACTCTTAAATGAGTTACAGATAAATACGGTGGGCACACCTTATTGTTTGACTATTTTGATGAGCAGTCTCTCTAGTTAAACCAAGTTGCATTCTTTTGCTCTCCTGATGATGAAAGTCATGAGACTGTAGGTCCTTCTCTACCCAAGATAAAGCAACCAACTTTGTCAACCAATCTGTTGACCGGGAAGGTTTGAATTAGCTTTTGTGTCACCCACAAAACATTGCAATTTTCTCTTTTAGTTAGCTGTGTAGGTGAATTCAATTATAATTGCAAAATATATATATTATATATATATATATATAATTTGAAAAAAAATTAGGAGGATCTCTGTATCCTCTTCTCAGCTAAATGTTATAGAATCAACCCTACAGATTTCCTTTGCTCTTAGGCCATGCTGTAAGGCTCTGCTATTTTTTGCTGACTGACTGGAGGGCTCAAATCGCCCACCTTTCCACTTAAGACATTGACGGATTGGATGCTCTTTTTAACTACATTCACAGTAATTTAGGCAGCTTTTTTAACTATATCCATAGAATTCAAGTTCCCAAAGTAACTGAAGCAGTTTCTTTTGTCAACACTCACATACTCACAATCACATTGCATAGATAACGAACGGTATGGCTACACCACACCCACAGAGCATCACACCATCTCTAATCTCTTTTCCTAGGTTATGCTTAGTTTGTTGAAATGAAACTTCTGTAATAGAAATCTCTTGTAGCATAATAGCTATAGGCAATCCTTGAATTAAGAGCATCCAATATTTGAATAAATCCAAATTTTTCTCTGTTCCCTTTCTTTCTCTCAAGGTGTTAAAACAGTTTCTGACACGAAGCATTAACAGGCATTCTCTACACACTTGGCTGTGACCTTTCTAGGTTTTGACCTTGGCCTCCTCTTGCCTTTTGCCCTATTCTCTGACCACATCCAAAGCATCCTTTACAAGGCTTTGTTTGTGCCTTTTTTCTCCCCAATGCCTTGCTTTCTCGGGAGGAATATAACATATCCTGTAAGGTCTTTGAGCGGCCTGGCATGCTGTCTTAGCATTCTCATAAGCTACTTGTTTCATAATCAAAAGTTCAACACCTGTATCTGCCATTATTCCTGATGATGCCTGCATTAGCCTGGAGACAAAATTCTGACATAACTTCTCAGGTCCTTGCCTGCTCTTTATAAAGTCCTAGCAGTTGGAAGCTTGTTCAAAGTTCTCTTGGCAGTTGCGCCAATCTGCACATATGCTGCTATCTCAAAGCCTAACTGCTGATCTACATCTTTGTATTGCCCTTCCTGGAGAGCGTCTCACAAGAAACAGGAAGTTTTTGGCCTCTATCTTCTCAGCAGTGATCTAACACTGTTCTGCAAATTCTGATTTTTCTCTCATCTGAGGAAACCTAAAAATTTCTTATGTCCTGTGAGGGGGATTCCACTAAATGTTTCAAGCCTCTTAGCTCCTGCTGAATTTTACCACTGGGTTTTGCCTCTGTATTACCAGTTAAAACAGAGGGAGGTGAAGGTACTTAGTAACTTTTTCTTCACACTCATCCCAATCACTCTTCCCTGTAATTTTTCATCTAGCCACTCCTCAGGTGGGGAGGTCTCTGGTCTCTATTATATTGCTAACCAAGTCAGGGGCAGATATTTAATGCTGTCCTGTGCTTATGAGCAGTGGCAACTTTCATTTCTCCAGCCATGAAGTAGCTAGGATACACCTGTTGAGGTGGCTTCTGTGAGGGAAGGACCCTTTCAAAACTTTTAAAACTCTAAAATCTTCTGTACTTGCTTCTGCTTTACTTCATCTCTCCTGGCTATAAGAATATACCAAAGGAAATTTACAAACATCTGTCTAGTAATTCTCTGTCTCATATCTCTATATACATTTTTACTCTCAAGGTTAAATTACTTCTGTATCATCTGGCTAATATTCCTGGTCTTTACCATTTATAACCAACCCCATTTAAATGAAAGCACACATTTATAAACAATATTTGGGAATGTTCTCTCCAAACTACTTCCTGCTGTTAGGGGGTGCTAAAATACCATGGGGATCCTAAGAAGACCCAGAAATCCTGGCTGGATTGGTCTGCAATGCTGCCTTGTCCCAGCTGACTTAGATGCTGGGACACTGCTTCAAGGGGCGTTGCTTCATCAAACCATATTAGTCTGGAAGGAACCCACAGCTTTTCACTTTCTGTGGAAACAAAAGTAGAAATTCTTTTCCCAAATAACCTGTCCTTATACTTAAATTTTGAATTCAAAAGTATTTTTGAAGTATGTAAATTGAACTAATCCAGCAGCATTTATAATCAAGTGTAGTTTAGTGGTTATTCTTTCCTTCACAATTGAACAACAGCATACAGTATGCAGACTCTGTATTTTCCATCTACACCTGGCTCATTTATATATCCTATTTCCTTTACTTTTATTTTATATTTTATTATCTTAATACCAGTACCTTGTTTCTTTAAACTTTCTCTGTGTATTCCTTTGAGACAGCGCTTCTCTATTCCAATCCAACTCTCTAAGGAGTTGAGGCGCCCTTTCGGTACCTTTACCAAACCACCCTCATAAATCCTTACTTGATGGCCAGTCTTCGGAGGGCGATGTCTCGGGGTCCCCTTTCTTTCCTGATCTCAGTGGAATCTCCACTTGTGGCGCTGTGCAACGAATAGGTCTGAGTATCAGGCGAAAGCTTGGATGGAGATTTACATAAAAGCAGGGACATCCAGCCTCTTGTGCTATGTGCGTGTGTCCACCTTCATTCCAGGGGGCGAGCAGCCTTATACACACTGACAGCACCGTGGAGAAACCCCAGGTGTAAGAGGTCTTGGAGAAATCCAGGTGTAATTGATGCCAGTGGGCAAGGCCAGGACTGTAAGACGGGACTAGAAATCAGGATGCACCTGTGGTTATTAGCTGACAACTCACAAAAGACCCCCGTGGTGGCTGGTGACCAAAACATTTGTGTGTGTGTATTTTCTTTCCAATTCATCTTTATTGGGTGGGAGCATCTTTGACCCTAGCTAAGATGCATCAAGTATTTTCTTGTTTTTCTATTGAAGTTTTACTTTATTTTAACTCCAATTCCTGTGGATCCAACACCTTAGGCATTGACGGGCACGTGCATTGCGTTGCACATACCCACATGCAAACATAAACACCTAGAAGGACAAGAGTTGCCCTAGGTTCACCCCTTGCTTTTATTTTTGTTTTTTAGATTGCAAATATTCCCTGCTTGCTATAATGCTTCTTGCACACCCTTACCAGTGGTTCTGCCTACAGCCTTGTATGTGCTAGGGAAGTATTGCACGATTGAGCTGCACCCTCCACCCAGAAAAATGACTTTTAAAAACACCATTGTACTGATGTATTGTGTATGATCTAATAAAGCCACTGGAGATGAAAATGGAAAGCTCTGCTGAGAGCCCATCTTAATAATTTCCAGTCATATTAACAGAAAGGTAAAAGAGAGACGAAATAAGATCCCTTAAATTTTGTCTTCTCTCCTTTGACTCCTGGAAGAATTAGGAGCCAAAAGGTGGCAGCAGGGGCAAGTACAATGACAGTATCAGTTGTCTTCTTCTTGAAAGACTAAAAAAAGGAAGAAAGAAACAAAAAGCCCCGTGCTATTGTTGCAAAACTGGGTCTAATAATCTTATTCCTTCCACAGATCAAACAGACAAAGGCCCATATTATACACACCTGGGGGCAGGACCAAGTGTTGCTGCTATCAGGGAGCTCATGGAGACTAGGTGAGGAGATGTTTCCCTGCTATTGTTTCCTTGCTAAAACCATTCGTCACCATGGACCTGGGTCAATGCAGAAGAAAGGTCTTGGGGCGATCATGAGGTGAATGAAGATGATCAGGAGTGTGGGTATTATTAGGTCCTTGGTACGACTGTCCTTTTGAGTTCTTCCTCCCAGGAGCTCAGAGCCCTGGAAGCTTGTCCTCATGCAGGAAGCCTAACTGATGAATCAGGAGCATGCATTTTTCTATTACTGTACAGGTGACCATCACCAAACCTTTAACCTTAACTTCCCAACACTTGTATGGATGCCAGGCAAATGTTAAAGTGATCTTTATGTCAATAGAGCTGGGTTACAAAAACAATCTGCCACATAGCAGCTGGCTTTTAGCCAATAAATAACAGCTGTTTCATTTTAACTGATGTTCATGTGTATTTTCAATGAATTCAGAGGTGAAACTATGGAAGTTTTAAGCACAGATTGTCATTAATTGGTCCCACCCCCCTACTGTGTTCTATACTCAGGTACTGCGAAAAGGGAAAGGCAATACGGATTGAGAAGATAGAGTACATGGGGAAAGAGAGCAAGAGCTCAAGGGGCTGCCCAGTTGTCAAGACTGTGAGTACTGCTAGTAAACTTTTCTTGGTTCTTTGGAAAAAGGATTTTTCCCATGGGTTACAATAAAATATTTTGTTTTGGCTAAAATGGAGGCTACGAAATTTGCCATGTATGTCCACGCGAAGATGAGAAAGGAAGCTTTGTGTCTTTACTAGGTTTTGGATTTCTGTGGTAGGGTGTTTAAACACATTGAACAGGAAAGGAAAAGTTTCAAGTGCACAATTTGGGTCACACATTTGCTCTGGATGTTTTGTCTGTACAGGTACTGAAGATGTATGGTTTTTAAAAGTCCCTGGCTGCCCTAGAACTCCCTTTGTAGACCAGGTTGGCCTGGAACTCCCTTGTGCTTGGGCTAAAGCTGTTCACTACCACTGTACCAAGGAGAAATATTTTTTTAATCATGTAGTCCCACGTCATAACCCCAGTTTGATGATACGTAATAACGGTCTTGTCTCCCTCATTTTGCATTAACCCTAGAATACCCACATTAAGATGAGTAATCACAAGATTGTGTAAAGAGACATTTCTAGACAACTGGTTGAATGGGCGTGGTGGAGTATCATTTTAGCCTATGGAGTTAAGGTTGTCCTTATGTATGTGTGCAATGTGGTTTATGGGAGAATTAATTGTGTAGAGGGCAATCAAGGAAACCCCTTAGGTGCTAATTTAATGTTTTATTTATTTTTTGAGGAGGAGGCTTGCTTAGTAGGGAGAGAAAGCAAGTAACAAAGGTTAAGGGGAAGGTAACCTAAAAAAGTAAGGTAATAGAGCCAGGCAGTGGTGGCACTTTAATCCCAGCACTCAGGAGTAGTGGCAGGTTTATCTCTGTGAGTTCAGAGGCAGCCTGGTCTATAGAGTAAGTTCCAGGACAGGCTTCAAAGCTACAAAAAAAACAAAAGAAAAAGGAAATGTAAGATAATATCCAGCACTTCTGAGCATCTTTATTCCATCCTGAAGGTCAGTCACATGTTCTCCCCAATTAATCTCTTGGTCTTGTAGCAATTGAAAATAATGCCAGAAAAGTCCAGTCAGATTAAGAAGATGAAGGTAGAATGATATAAAGGTGCCAGGTCCAGGGTGACTTCATTGTCACTGTGAGGAGTTGTATATTTGGTATGCAATCGCAGCCCTTGAAGTATCTTTTCATAGGATTTATTTTCTGGTTTCTTGGTTGTTGTTTTTTCCAAGGTAGTATTTCTCTGTGTAGCCTGCCTCAAACTAGGATTAAAGGCATTTATGACCACTACCTGGCAATGGCCCTTCTCATTCAAATCACCACACAGTTAGAGAGAAATGTTAGGAAAACCTGAGTGAAGGAGGATCTATCCTCTAGTTTTTAAAATTACCAAGATATACTAACATCTATTGTATTGTTTTAAAAGCCATTTATTTGTTTATTAGAATGAATGGTGATGGTGTGCACATGACCACATCTCATGCGGATGGAGACAATTGATTAATACAGATGCTCTTATTGGTGTAGAGCTTGCAATTGAGCTCCAGAGATATTCCTTTCTCTGTTTGCAAAGGAGAGATTACAGGCATATAAAGCCCCTCCTGGTGTTTTCTTATGTGTTCTGGAGACTTCACCTCAGGCCCTCATACTTGAACGCTTAAGATTTTTTGTTTTATTTTGCTTTTTGCTTTTTCCTACTAAGAAATCCTACCAGCCTCTAAATGGGATTTTAAAAATATGTGTATTTTAGCCAGGCACCTTTAATCCCAGCACTCGGGAGGCAGAGGCAGGAGGATCTATATGAGTTTGAGACTAACCTGTTCTACAAAGCTACACAGAGAAACCCTGTCTCAAAAAAAAGAAAGAAAGAAAGAAAGAAAGAAAGAAAGAAAGAAAGAAAGAAAGAAAGAAAGAAAGAAAAGAAAAGATGTGTACTGTGTACTAATTGCTTATTGGTCTCTACTGCAACCTAATTAAAGAGAGGTGATCCATGGACCTTGTGATAGTGCTGGAGGTGGAGCTCAGTGATACTGAGTGGACTTATATAGTGAATGAACTTCTATAGTGGGTGATAGGTGAACATGTTGATTTAGTCCAACATGACAAGATATAATGGTATAAAAATTTCTGGACCCATCTTCTTTAAGTCTAAGGCTGATTGAGTGCAGTTTAGGGCTCAAGGAGGGCTCATTTGCCTGCAAAATGTTAAGGTCTTTGTTATTTCTATATAGAAAATGTAAGTATTGGCCACTATGAACAAATGTATAAGAAATGGGTTTTAATTTGGTTTAATTTTTTCTTTTATAATGGCCATATTTCTTTTTCTTAGTGCATGTGTGTTCACACGTGTATGCTGCAGAGTAAGGTTTACCCATCTCAATGCCTCTAGATTGTTTTTGATGAGAGCCTTTACTAAATTTGTTGAAGACTTTGTTATGAATTGTAACTTCTTCATCCAACATTATTAAGAAAGTTTCCTTCATTTTGAAAGAGGTGAACCTACCTGCCCATATATAACAATATAACTTGTGTCAATATATCTTATTAAAGGAACAGATTTATACAAATCTGTGTGTAACCATCTAGCAGAAGTCATTGTCAAATTGGTTGGGAACCAATGGCCATCAACAAAGAAATGTAACAATAACATAGTTAACTCATGCCATGAAACATTATTACTCAAAGAAGATGATTGAAATGCAACTGTCTGGATCTGACTGACCCAAACTCAAAGGTACAGGTGTCTCAGGCAAGCACACCACCAACAGGGAGTCTTAAAATTACCTATTTATATTTAGTGTAGCTTGAATAATATTGAATCCAAAATTTTGTACATGCCAGACAATTGCTATAGAGACTCCTCCTTGTCTGCTGCCTGGATGCCCCTACCACCCAAAATTTAAATAATATTTTATTTAAATTTCCAGTTTTGCCGTAACTGGAACCTTGTTTTGTTTTGTTGGTTTTTTTGGACATGGTTTCTCTGTGTAGCTTTGGATCCTTTGGAAACTCTGTAGACCAGGCTGGCCTTGAACTCACAGAGATCTCCCTTCCTCTGCCTCTAAAGTGCTGGATTAAAGGCTTTTGCCACCAATGCTAAACTGTTCTTGCTTTTTTAACATTTGTTTGTTATGTATCTACTGTCAGAAGAGGACAGCTGATGTCATTTCATTATGATAGTTGTGAGCCACCATGTAGTTGCTGGGAATTGAACTCAAGACTTAGAAAAGAAGTCAGTGCTCTTAACCTCTGAGCCATCTCTTCAGCTCCCTTGGAGCTGGGACTTGTGCATCAAGTGTGCTTCACTCACATAGGTCCATCCACAGATTGTAGACAGAGAAAAGAGACGAATGTGCTCAGGGGACATTTTCTCAATCAACAAGTGGGTCAATCCGATGTGCAGAGGAAATCTCTGTACTGAATCTATGGAAACAAGGAAACACTAGGTATGGAGGTGTGCCCCTGTCATCCCGGTATTCGGGAGGCCAAAATATAGAGTTATAAGTTCTAGACAAGCTTGCACTGTGTGCCAAGATCAAAGTTCAAAATTATAATAGAATGCAAGAAATTTAATTCATAGGAAAAGTCTCGGTTTTTTGTGGGGGGAGGGTGAGTGTGAATACATGAAACACATGTGCTTAACATCTTCCTCCAAGACAAGGGACCAGAAGCTCCCATGTCATCCACTTGCTTAGTCTGCAATACCCTGGTTAGAGAGATACATCACCACATCCAGCCTTTTAGTCATTGGTGTGGATTTGAACTCAGGTCCTTATGTTTGCAAAGTAAACAGGCTTGTTCTGTAAGCCCTGGGATGACCTGAGCCCCAGAGCATAGTGAATGAATGACTGAAAAAGTGCTTATGAAGAAACCAAATATTCGTGAAGAGACTTAAGACTTCTCCAGTCACACTGTAACATGTCTCCCACAATTTACAAGTTGACACATCCTGTTAGTTTACTGGCAGTAATAAGCATACACTGACCCAAAAGCTCACAATTTGGCCACTCACAATGTTTTCTGTCTCATAGTATCACCTATCATGTTTAAAATCTAACTCTACGGGACTTTGTAGTTTTAATTAGCTTAACAAGGGATTGTGCTATTCTCTGAGCTTAATTGTCTGTGCACAGGAGTTTCTACTGTTGTAGCAGAACAAAACACTTAAAAATGCAAACTCATTCTCTCTCTCTCTCCCTCCCTCCCTTCCTCCCCCTCTCTCTCTGTGTCCCCCCTCTCTGTCTCTCTCTGTCTCTGTCTCTCTCTCTGTGTCTCTCTGTCTGTCTCTGTCTCTCTCTCTCTTACACACACACACACACACACACACACACACACACACAGAGTAAATATTAGAGCTGAAGAGATGTCTCAGTGGTTGAGTGTGTGCATACTGCTCTTGCAGAGGTTACAAGTTCACTTCTCAGCACCCATGTCTGGCATCATGCATGTGATACAAACACACACATGCCAGCAAAGCATTCACTTATAAAATAAAATTGATTTAATACAATAGTTTAAAAACCAGTCTTTCAGCTGGACAATTGTGGCTCATACTTGTAATCCCAGCACTTAGGAGACAGAGGCAGACAGATCTCTGTGAGTGCAAGGCCAGCGTGGTGTAAAGAGTGATTTCAAAATCTGCCAGTATTGAGTTTGCAATAACCAGGAGCTGATTTTCAGTTTTCCTTCAGTGAACCCATTTGTGCAAGAAGCCCAAACTTACAAATTATGTCTTTTTTTTTTTCAAAGATTTTTCTATTTATTATGTATACATTCTGCTTCCATGTGAGCCACCATGTGGTTGCTGGGAATTGAACTCAGGACCTCTGGAAGAGCAGTCAGTGCTCTCAATCTCTGAGCCATCTCTCCAGCCCTAATTATGTCTATTTTTATGTACAAGTTGTTTCCTGGAATAGCCCTCTCCCACTCCTCCCTAGATTCCCACTTCTGTTAAGAGAAGGGGAGGAGAGAAGATACAGATTCATAACTGCAGATGGAACTGCCCACAGTTGGCCTTAATTAAGTACATGCTAGAGTTTTCTTTGGCACTCCCAATTTGTACCTAAGTTACAAATTTGCAGTTTGCATGTGATGTTTGATTTTAACTTTTTTGTTGGGATTTGTGATATCTTCATATTTGTGTGGGTGGACTTGTATATATCAGAAGGTCTTCTTTTTTATTTATTTCCTTCTTTATCTCATTTTTGTCTCTTCTATTACAAGGGATCAAACTTGGCCTTTTGCATGCCAAGTAAGCAACCTAGTACTGTGATTAGGCCTCCAAATATTTTAAACCCCTTTTCAGTATGTCTCATTGGTTGGCTAGGAACTTGGTAGACCAGACGCCTAACTAACTGTGTTGGTTCTGGGGAATGTAACTGAGGTCCCATACATACTGAACCTCCTTGCTGGTCTTATCTCCAGCATTTTTTATCATTTACTAGTGTACACACACACACACACACGCACACGCACACGCACACGCACGCACGCACGCACGCACGCACACACACACACACTGTAAAATTCATATAATGTATATTTAAGATATATGTATGATTTGTGTTTTTCATTTGTGTGTTGGCTGGGTGTTGGTGTACATATGTCACGGCACATGTTGTTTGGCTGGAAGTTAACTGTAGATAGCCAGTGCTCTGTACCATGTGAGATTCATGCATGAAATGCAGGCTGTCAGTCTTGCTGTATGGTTTTTGTGAGTCAGGCTCACTGTGTCGTGCTTGCTGGCCTGGAATGCCTATGAAGAACAGGCTGGCCTCCTGCCCTCCAGATGCTCTAATTAAACTTATGGCCCAGCACATCTAGCTGGCTGTCAGTCTTGTTATCAGGCTCAGAGCAAAATAAAGATGGTAACTTTGATTGAAAAGACTATTAGGATTCTTAGAGACAGGGTCCTATTTCCCAGGCTGGCTTCCAACTAGTCGTTGGAAGCACAAACTTCTGTCCTTGCCCCCTACTCAGGAGTGCTGGGATTATGTGGTGTTTGGGGCTGAACACAGAGACTCATGCAAGGAAGGCAAGTTATATATCAGTTGAGCTACACATTATAGCCAAAAAGTCTGTACTTTTTACATTCAAGGTCATGTTCCCCTTAGGTGTTTTTTTTTGTTTGTTTGCCTTTGCTCTTTGCCATTGCTGAAATTAAACGCATGCATCACCATCACCCAGCTTCTCCTTAGGTTATTTAATTGCTCTATTAACATGTTAGAAACTTTTTTTTTTTTAAATCAAACACACTTTCCATAAGGTTTTGTTTGGGATTGCATGAAACCAGACAAGTGTTCCTCTGCCATGTTACCTACATATCTTTGGCTTTCAATATTCTGAGAATTTATACAACTCCTAACAAATAATGCATCTAATTTGTTTCTCACCATAGATTTCTTCAAAGAAGACATGTCCTAAAGCTGTTTCTCTGGGTACACAGTGTCCCATAGTTGTAGTGTCTGCACAATGATCCTGGGAAATATTCAGTTCACACAAGCAAGGCATTTGATGCCATCAAGGGTGACACAGAAAGATTCTGTCTCAGAACTCTAGCCTTTCCAGTACAAAAGTTGATGGACATAGGTTGTTTCCAGGGACCCTTGTTCAGTTCCCAGTACCCACATGGTCTTCCAAAACTGCATGTCCCTGACACTCTTTTGGCACCCACCAGGCACCTAGCTCACAGATGCTAAATGTACATATTCACAGGTAAACACTATACATTTGAAATTTAATTTTAAAAAATCTGTTTTTATTTTTTACAATGAGTCTAACTCCTGGGCTATTTGATACTCCCGAAAAGGCCATTCCTGGAGCTGGAGAGAAGGCTCAGAGTAAGTGCACTGGCTGCTCTTCCAGAGGTTCTGAGTTCAATTCCCAGCAGCCACATGGTGGCTCACAACCATCTGTAATGAGATCTGGTCCCTGCTTCTGATGTGCAGGGATATGTGTAGGCAGGACACTTCAAAAATGAAAAATAAGAAAGCTTTCAAATGTGTAACTGGTGTAGATGAATACATTCTGCCTTTCCAGGTACTTAGACAAAACAATGATGATGAGAAGGTTCTCTGTTTGGCCCGGGAGCGTGTAGGCCACCACTGTCAGACAGCTGTGATGGTTGTGGGCATCGTTCTTTGGCAACCCATCTCTCCACCATTGGCTGACCATCTGTACGATGAGATCACAGATAACTTAAGATCCTACAGCGGGCATCCCACTGACCGAAGATGTACCTTCAACGAAAAGTAATCAGATTGGCTTTGAACTGCTTTGACTTCCCTTTCTCTCTGTTGTATGTGATAAATTTATAAGTAATTGATAAATATCAAGGGAGACCAACCTTTGTTGGTGTGGTTGTGCTGGAGGAAGCTGGAGCTAAGGAGGTGGAGGGCAGCTCAGACTGCAGTGAGACCCTTCTTCTCCTCCTCCGTCTTTTTAAATGCACTTAAGGATACTCTGCTTTAGATTTGGGGGCGGCCCTAGTGATTGAACCTCAGCCTTGTTCATCTTACTGGGTATATATTTACCATGCATATATACAGCCTCTGAACCAAGGATATTCTTATTTGCTATTGCATGTGACCCAACTCCATGGTAGTGTTATGAGGAAATGGTCTTTAAGAGAAGATTCCTCATTAGAATTTGAGGCCTCTTCCCCATAAATTTAATACAGAAGTCACATCAATTTTCTTCAGCTTCCATTATTGGTTACGTCCTCCCAGCCTGTGTGCCCCTGCTAGGCCATGTCTATGAAGTAGCTGTCATTCCTTAAAGAGGGCGTCTTCTTCCTTAGCGGAGATGATTTGTATGGAACTCTGGCTCTAATGGTATCTGTGCATGGCCTCTCAACTCTCCTGGCCCTTTGCCTTTATGCCACTGTAAATTGATTATTCTGAGCCTATTTCTCAATATACAGCATAGATTCTCCTGTGTCTTTATAGCATTGGCTTAAGTAGTAATTATGTTTTGTTCAATTTCTTGTTTCCCAAAAGAATGGTATATCTGAGAGTATACATAGCTCTTTGGTAGATTTTTATCACTTAAAAAATTGAATATGAATTATGTTTTGTCTACCTCTGTGGATAATTTGGCCCTTTGGTCCCCACATCCCACTGTTCCTTCTTTCCAAGTTCACACAGCTGGTTCTACCCTGGTCATGTCGAAGATTGTTGTACATTGGTTTGTTTTTTGAGGCATATTTCATTGTGTAGCTAACATCACATTTGTCATCTTCATGTTCCCCCAGTCAACCTCACAAACCCTAGACTACAAGAATGCATGGCAGGCTGGGAATACAGAGGAGCCAGCACAGCTCATTGTTTCTGACCGTGTTTATTCCAGTTGGTCTTATGCTATTGTCTTGAGTTTCAGATCTATAATCTTTATATATAATTTTTAAGGTGCTTTTAAATTAAATCTAGAACTGAGGAGTATCTCCAAGTGTTATATGTATAAAGTTCCTGAACAAAACAGCCTTTCTATTCCTTCTTCCTGTTGTATTTCTCAAAGTCATTTCATTAAAATAGTCAGGGATTGTATAGTTAGTGTATTGTATTTTCATTTCCAGTTTCATGCAAAAGAAAATGATGTCATTTCAGACAAAATGTAACTTTTTATTTATTTCTCCGTCTCTTGTATCTCTAAGACAGAAATTTTGTTGTCTACTTGGATTTAGAAACAACAATTTTAGTAAAAAAATAAGGACCAAATGTGTATTCAAAGTGAAGAGGATTGATTTGAGGCTAGATGTAGCTAGGGTATGTCTTTGTTTTTTTGTTGTTTTGTTGTGTTTTGTTTTGTTTTGTTGTCTTGTTTTGTTTGTTTTTTGTTTTCAAGACAGGGTTTCTCTGTAGCTTTGGAGGCTGTCCTAGAACTAGCTCTTGTAGACCAGGTTGGTCTCAAACTCACAGAGATCTGCCTGCCTCTGCCTCCCGAGTGCTGGAACTAAAGGCGTGCACCACTACCCCCAGGCGCTAGGGTATGTCTTAATGAAGAGAGTTAAATGCAGTGGTAAATATTATAACCTGCTCATAATCCATCATATATGTCTTTGTATTTCTGTGACCTTGTCTATTGTCTTGCTCAATATCTTCCAGACGTACCTGTACCTGTCAAGGCCTCAATCCAAGGACATGTGGAGCATCTTTCTCCTTTGGCTGTTCATGGAGCATGTATTTAAACGGCTGTAAGTTTGGGAGAAGCCCAAACCCTAGAAAATTCAAACTTGCTCCAAACTATCCATTAAATGTGAGTTTCCTTTTTAATTTTTGATTCATTATCTACAGTACATAACCATGTATACTCCCTAAAAAGTTTTTTGAGAATAAAATTTTAGCTATTAAATGTTGTAAATTACTAAAACATGTATGTAAATACATATTGTAAATATGTCAAGTAAAGACTTTTTTATTTGTCTGTCGGTCTGTCTTCATGTTCTCCAATACCATTATTAAAGGCACCTAGGACTTAATTGGGAGCCAGAGTAGAACAAACCATTTGTCTAAATGTAAAGACTAAGAAAGTTTTCTACCCACAGAACTATTATAAGAGAATTACTGGAATACTGCGTAAAGCCAAAATAAGACGCAGAAGATATATGAGACCTCTGAAACCTAGATGGATGATTCTGGAACACAAGGCCCAGGTGAGTAGAGATACTAATCAAATTTACTATTCATCTTTTTAAATTGAAAATGAACTTCCAAGCCCTTTCTGTAGTCAACTGTAGGAGTGGTTCTGGCTGAATAGGTACTAAGTAAGGGGATATATTTGAATTTTGTTAGGACAATGGAAATATTGATTCATTACCACCACTAATTTAAATATAATGGACAAAGGTCTTCACTTAATTAATGTGCAAATTGTATTTTACACCTGTTAGTTAATTTTAGGGTAAGGGAAGAGGACTGAGATCTTATCTCAAAATCAAATGCTAAAAGACAAGATTGCTGCTATTGTACTGACTCGCTACAACAATTTACGAGCTCCTGGTTAGTCAGGGTTGCTCCAGAGAAGGCATGTTTTATTTTTGTTGTGTTTTTGAGGGGAGGTTTTGGAGATAAGGTTTTTCTAACTGTCCTGGAGTTCATTTTTAAGACCAAGTTGGCCCTGAACTCAGAGATCTCCCTGCTGCTGTCTCTTGAGTGCTGGATGAAAAGTGTATACCACCATTGTCCAGGAAAGCATGTTTTTAAAGACATTAATCAGTAGAAATTATAGTTACATTATATATTCAAAGAAAACTATGTAATCCAGCACACTGGAATTAAACCATTTAATAAACATCATAAATGATGTCAAGCAATGTTTATGTACTATACATATGTCATATCTGACAGTAACAGTCATGAGAAATATCCCTTTATCTTCAGCTTAAGTATATCACCTCAGAACAAAGCTAATGTAAGAACGTATATTTGACTTAGGTAAGTATAGAACTAAGTTCAGTAGATAGCTATAGATGAGTATAGATAACTACAGAACTAGGTGCCCTGCTTAGAATATCTGTAGTGTGTTATTAGTACTCACTTAAATCTGTCAGGTTAAAGCCAGATGTAGTAGCAATCATCTTTGATACCAGAGTGGAAGCCAGACAGATCTGAGTACAACCAAGATACTGTCTCAAAGAAACAAGGAAGACAGTAAAATTTAATTTTTGTCTTCCTATATTATTGAATTCTTTATTCATATATAAAAGATACTGTTAAGTATTACTCTTTTAAGCTCTAAACTGCAATGTCGCTGCTTTAGTTGTTGGTTATTTTTTTGTTTTTCGAGGCAGCTTTTCTCTGTGGCTTTGGAGGCTGTACTGTAACTCGCCCAACATTGGTTATTTTTAATGATAACTTAAAGACACAAGCTAGGAAACTGTCAGTAGGCTAGGATAGGTGAAGTCACCAGGGACAAAGAGGAGGGGTGTGTGCATCAGCTCTGTAAGCCAAAGCTGAGGAATTGGGGAAGACATAGAAAAATGCTTGAAAGAATAAAGTGATAAGTACAGGTATCTTAACATTTCTCCAGACATGCCAGACGGTGGTGGTAGAGGCGCAGGCACTACCTCAGGAGGTAGAGGCAGGCGGAGTTCAAGACCCAGCCTCGTCTAAAAAGCTAGTTCCAGGAGAGCCTCCAAAGCCGCAGAGAAACCCCTGCTTTGAAAAACAAAAAACAAAACAAAACAAAAAAAGTAGAAAAACCAATAAAACCATTTCTCCAGATGCTCTTTTTAATTATAGATTGGAATTAGACAAGAATCTTTACAAACGGACTTTCCAAAAACAGCTTAGTGTAGTGATAGTATCAACGTTCCAGGAATTGAGCGATGTGCAAAGTTTGCTTAGAGTTGTAATAAAAAGATGATGTTTGTTACCCCTGGTTTGAAATAATAAAATCAGACAATGTCAGGAGAGACAGCTCTTCTGTACAAATTGGAATGTTGATTCCACGTTTCCTGAGTGATAAGTAATTTCACCTTGAGGCTAGTGTGACTTACATAGTCCTGAGTGTAGGCCCAGTGCTCTTAAACATCAGAAATGAGTGACAAGAAGATATGTTTCTGGTTTTCACACCATAGGCAAAACTCTGTTAAGAAGCCATGAGTAGGGCTGGAGAGATGTTTCAATGGTTAAGTGCTGCTATTTGCTTCTGTTCAAAACTTTCCCCAAAACTATCATATGGAAAATGCTCTGCTCATACTGACTGTGACAGTGCTTTGTCCACAGTAAAATAGGCTCTACTGTGCTAGAATGGCAAGATTCTTGGTAATAGTATTAATTATCTTATTTCTTAATCTTCTACAATCTGTAGCATTTGTAGTGAAAAAGAGACCCCTATCTCAGTGCATTCTTTCTTTTTTTCTCTAGTGCTGTGTATATATGAAAACCAATAGCCTCCGCAAGAGCAGTAAGGGTGACCCATCTCCCCAGCCTTTCTCATCTTTTATTTAAAAGATATGGGATCTTTTAATGGAGGACTGGTTAGCCTTGGACTCAATCCTCCTGGGCGAACCTGCCAAGTTTTAAGCTCATAGCCATGCTTATTTGAAACTCCTAGAAGAAGATATTACATATGTGATATACTTTATATATATTGGTCTCTAACCTGGAAAACGTCTTTCTGTGCCTCACCATTGCCTTTAGAAACCTTGTCTGTGTTTATTTCAAGTGTCCAGTTCTAGTAAGTAAACAGGTATGCCTTTCATTCTGAACATCAAGAGCGGTTATAGAGTTTATTCTCCACTGTATAGGTTTGTGATGTTAAAATTCCTTTTTCAAAAGATAAAATTAGGCCATAACAACCTCTTGTAGTGCCGATTAACACAATTATCTTGTATTCTACCCACTGTATCATGGTAAGTGAATTATATGTCAGCCACATCATGAAATTACTTATAGTGGAGTTTTTTATACCTGTCACTCACTTTACAGTGTTTTAAAATTATCTCATGGGGATTATCTTTTATTATAGGAGAAAAAGATTGAAGGAATTTTAAACAAAGTGGCTGACACTTTAGCTCCAATTTATAAGCAGATGGCTCCAGTTGCTTATCAAAATCAGGTATGTTTTTTGGGTTTTTTGCTTTGTTTTTAAGCAGTTTTCCAATGACCTTAAGCATACATATGTCAAGTTTGTATGTCAAAATAGTTCTCATTAATAGAATTATAACCATAGCCAAATGAGCAGCTATTATAATTTAGACGTAGTGCTCTGCTCCCCCAGAGAGCTCTCCAGAAGTACCAGAGATAAAATTCTAGGGGCAACAGAACTGGTTTGGGAGGCCATCTATCTACATGGCACCTTGTTACAAAATCAATAAAGTAAGATGGAAAAGTGTTTTAAAACGCCCACTGTTCTGGGTGTGGTGGCTCATGTCTTTAATCCCAGTGTTTGGGAATCCTCCAGAAGCCAGCAGAGTTCAAGGTTAGCCTGTTTTACATGGAGAGATCCAAATATTCTTGGCTCAATCTTTACCACGCTCTTACCCCCCACCACCACCACCCCACTGCCACAAAATAGAGCCCTTAAGTTCTATAGAGCACTCACATGATTGCTCACGACCAACTGCAGTTTCAGAGGATCCGGTCCCATGAAATCTTACTTCTGTGGGCAACGAATGGATGTACATGGTGAGCTGCACACGTGTACATGCAGACAAAATACTCATAAAATTAATATATTAAAAAAAAATAAAAGCATCGAGCTGGGTGAATTGACACATACATTTAATCCCAGCACTCAGAGGCATGCAGATCTCTGGGTCCAAGACTAGCCTTGTCTACAAAGAGTTCAAGGATAGCCTGGGCTGTACAGAGAAATCCTTTCTCAAAAACACATGAAAAATACTGTTCTGGTTTATAGAGACAGACCCTGGCTACTCATAGTTCATAAAGGAGTACTTTCTGCTTCTTAGACTCCTAACACTACATATGATTAATGCATTCATTGTGTTTGTCATAGGAGGAAGCACCTTTATCAACTGAGGCATCTTGTCCACCAGCCCTTAATAACATATATATGCACATCTAGACACAAAACCTAAATCATATATAGAAATTTACAGAGGAAAAAAAGTTCTGGGCTAGATAAATGGTTTGGTTTTTGTTTGGTTTTTGTTTTGTTTTGTTTTGGGCATCATTTCGGTATCCAGCACATTCAAGGTGGTGAAAACTGTCCCTAAGTCCAGTTGTCACCCTCTTCTCACTTTTGAAATTACACTCACGTGACACACATACACATGCAGACAAAACTACTCATACTGTCTTATTTTAATTTTTAAGGTAAAATATGAAGATGTTGCTGCAGACTGTCGACTTGGTACTAAGAAAGGCCGTCCTTTTTCTGGTGTCACCTGTTGCATGGACTTCTGTGCCCATTCTCACAAGGATAATCACAACATGATTAATGGAAGCACTGTGGTATGTACTTGCATGGCTTTAAGTCCTCTATTCAGTGGGTGCTTCCTCCTCCCATCCCCACTTCATAGGGTTTCTTTGTATGTCCCTGGATGTCTTTGGTTCACTCTGTAGACCAGGCTGGCCTGCCTTTGCCTCCCAAGTTTTGGGATTATAAAGGCATGGGCCACCACTGCCCAGCTAGATGTGTTCATAAAATATAATTGTATTGAAAAATATTTTAATATATTTGTTGGACATGATTACAGATGGATTTTTTCTCCCAGCTATTAGGAGGCTAATGCACTAGGATCTCTTTGAGTGCTATACCAATGTGGGTCTATAGTTAGTTCCAGGACAGTTGAGGCTAGACCGTATGTAGAAGCCAGAAGGTCAGATAACACCAGGAGTACATGACCCATAGAATCAACTAAGCAGGGCTCATAGGGGCTCACATATACTGATGTGACAATGAATCCTGTTTGGGTCTCAGCTAGGTCCTCTCCATATACCTTATAGTTGTAGCTTGGTGTTCTTGTGGGACTCTCAGCACTTCAGACGCCCTTCTCTCCTGGGTTGCCACAACCATTGGTCGTAATATGAGGGTTTGTGCCCATTTTTATTGTATCTTAGGCCGTGATCAGTGGATATCTCCTGCTTTTTTTTTTTTTTCTTCTTCTGAAATGAGTTGGGATGAGGGACTGGTAGGAGTTGAGGGACTGGAAATTGCTGTAATGCAAGAGCGAATAAGAAGAAAAAGAAGGAGAAAATACATTTATAATATAATAAAAATATAATTTAAAATATGTATTTGTTAAACTTTCTGAAAAGTTGTACAGAGCAGAATATTTTGTTTAATTTATTGTATTATACTTTTTTTTAGTTTTGTTTAGTATTTTGAAACAGGGTTCTCTGTAGCTCTGGCTGGCCAGGGATTCCCTGCTTCTGGCTCCTGAGTGCTGGGATTAAAGTCATGCTCCACCACCACTATCTGGCTAAATTATTCCTTTTACCTTGTATGTAACAAATTTCCCTCTGTGGGTTGGGTGCATACCTGTGTATGCCTGGTTTCCATAAGGTTCATTAAGAGAACATTAGTTCTCCTGCAACTGCAGTTAGGAATGTCTGGGAGCTGCCATGTGAATGTTGGCAACTGTTGAATCCCTCAGTACTTAAATACTTTATACTCTGTGGCAAAACTTATTTAATTTGGGCCTGGGTGATTGCTCTGCTAAGCCTCACAACCTGAGATCTACCTAATATTACACCAACTCCTACAAATTTTCCACTGACCTCCTCAGATGCACTGTACATCATAAACACAACAGGCACAAATAAATGTTCTTTTGGTCTTTTGTTTTTTACAAAAATATGCTTTAAGAAATAATGACATGCCTTTAAAACCAGCAATTGAGAAGCAGAAGGCCAGCCTGATTGACAGAGTGAGTTCCAGGACAGCTAGGACTATTACACAAAGATACCCTGTCTTAAAAAAAATAAAACATTTTATGCTGCCCACCGACACATATAGTCAACCCATTTATGTTTCTACCAGTCCTGACATTGAGACTATGTTCAGCATATCTGTTTACTTGTTAAAGACTGGCTTAGAACTCACAGATAGGTCGCTGCCTGCCTTGGCCTCCTGCCTGCTGTTACCACCAAGCCCAAGCATTTTTTGTTTTGTTTTGTTTTTGTTGTTTTGTTTGTTTTTGTTTTGTTATTTGAGGCAGGGTTTCTCTGTATTGTTTTGGAGCTTGTCTTAGAACTCGCTTTGTAGACCAGGCTGGCCTTGAACTCACAGATCCACCTATCACTGCCCAGCCCCAAGCATATTGTTTTTAATGCTCTCTATTTTACTTTGTATTTTCACATACTGGCCTGGAAAACATTACATAGCTCAGGTTAAGAATATACTTAAATTTAGTTGGTCCAGCAAGATGGCAAGTAAGTAAATAAGGAAATGTAAGTTTAAAGCTGTTGAAGGGGCTTGTTTCTCCTAGGGTTTCTATTGCTGTAAAGAGACACTATGACCACAGCAACTGTTAGAAGAAAAACATTTAATTGAGGTGGCTCCCTTATAGTTTCAGAGGTTCAGTCCATTATCATAGGTGGGGAGCATGGCCTGTGAAGGCCACAGGAAGTGTGACACACTCGGTATGCCACAGTGAAACACACTTCCTCCAACAAAGACATAATATTTCCAAAAAAGTCACACATCCTAATAGCGATTATGGGGCCACTTATATTCAGACTACTACTGGCTTTAGAAACAGCACAGCACAGTAAGAACCTGCTTGGACAGTTCAGTTCCCAGCAAGCCAGGGTCAGGTGGAACACATCCTCAGTTCCTTTTGATCCAATGGTCTCCTTGACTTCTCCAACATCGGCAACTATGTACATACAGACATGGACACAGACTTACAGGGACAAAAATAAAAAGAAAATAGATAAAAAGCAATCACAAACTCTAGAACCGATGGGGCAAGAACAAATGTCAAACAAAAGTGGAAATACTGCCTTGCTTCATAGTGAGTTGGAGGCCAGGCTGGGCTTCAAAAATAATTGTTCTGAAGAAAGGGAAAGTGAGAATATATAAATATTTTGCTTACAGTTATACTCATCTGCTTAAAAGGTGAGAAGCCAGTAAAATTGTATTTAGTTAGGATTAGTATGCCAACTTCAGCCAATTGAAACAAAACTGAACTGTAGTAGGCTTTGGTCTTTGTTTCATGACCATAGCAACTCTTGTGACAGAAAGAATTAATTGGGGGCTTTCTTAAAGTTTCAGAGACTTAGTTCATGTCAAAGCAGAGAGCATGGCAACAGGTGGATGTGGTGCTTGAGAAGTAGCTGAGACCTACCTGATCAGAAAGAGAGACTCCTTAATTGCATTAAATTAATTTTAGGTCCACGCCTTAATCCTCATATTCCTTTCAAATGGTGCTCTTGACTGAGTTCAAATATATTTGCCTAAGGGCCATTCTTATTCAAACCACCTCACATCTGTTGGCTTAGATGAATGTGGACACATGCCTATTCCCCTCTCCCTGTGCCTCAGGTTTTAACTTTGCTTCGAAAAGATGCCCGAGACAGGAATAATCTCCAGGATGAGCAGTTCCATGTTCTTCCACTACACCGGCTTGCAGACACTGATGAATTTGGCTCCCGGGAGGGCATGGAAGCTAAGATCCGCTCAGGGGCCATCGAAATCATTAAGCCATCTGTGAAGAAGCTACTGCATTTCAATGAGCCTATTCCTCGATGTGGGAAGAGGAGGACCACAATGAAGGAGCACAATAAGAATCCAGCTGCTGATGAAGTCAAAAAGAAGAGGAACTCTTCTAGTAAGTGTGGCCCACTATTGCCCCAGATAGGTCAAGCTGGTGTTCCCTGAACAACTTTCATCTCCAGAAAGGCTTGTACTTTCTTTTCTGTCAAGAGACCTTATCTTGACACCCCCTGCACATGCGCCCGCACACATACGCATAGAGGCAAATGTGTGCTGAGGGACTTATTTACTCTTTGGGCTCTTTACTCTTTTAGGGTACCTGCCACCCAGCTGCCAAATAAGTTGCATGGAGGCTTATTACTTTTTTAAAGATTTTATTTATTTATTTATTTATTTATTTATTTATTTATTTATTTATTTATTTATTTATTTATTTATTTATTTATTTATTTATTTATTTATTTATTTATTTATTTATTTATTTATTTATTTATTTATTTATTTATTTATTTATTTATTTATTTATTTATTTATTTATTTATTTATTTATTTATTTATTTGTTATGTATACAACATTCTGCTTCCGTGTATATCTGCACACCAGTACAGGGCACCAGATCTCATAACGGATGGTTGTGAGTCACCATGTGGTTGCTGGGAATTGAACTCAGGACCTCTGGAAGAGCAGTCAGTGCTCTTAACCTCTGAGCCATCTCTCCAGCCCCTTACCTTTTCTTAATTTACATTATTCTTTCTACCTCTTGCCTCTGGGCTTAAACCTTTCTCTTATGTATACCTTACTTTCCCTTGTACCTTGGCTAGCTGTGTGGCTGGGTGTCTGGCCCCTAGTGCCCTCCCTCTTTCTCTTGCTCCTTCTTTCTTTTTGATCCCAGATTTCATCTATTTATTCTCTCTCTTCCTGCCAGCCCCATCTAGCCTTTGTCTCTGCCCAGTTTTTGGCTGTTCAGCTCTTTATTAGACCAATAGGTAAACAAACATAACACGTTATGTCTTAAAATAATCTTCCACAACAGAAATGACTGCATTTTGTTTTCTAATCCTCACCTAGCCCTCATTCACATTTATTTTTAAATAATGCTCTTCCTTCTGTTCTCTTTAAACTGCTATTAAATATAAGCACCCCCTGCCATTTTTGTATATAATGGAGTAATGCTACCTGTTTTTTGTTTTTCAAGATAGCGTTTCTTCATGTAGCCCTCCTAAGGTCGATCAGAAGCCTCCTTTGGCTTATCTGATTACCATGCCCAATTAAAATTAAACACCTCATCCTAACATGCGGTCACCCCCTTTACCTTAATAAACTACCTTTTGCCAATGTGCCAGGTATGTCTCCTCTATCCAAAGCCAGTCCTTTGTCCCTTCTCCCTACCCTCCCTTGTCCCTTGGTCCTTACTCCTTTCTCCCTCAATACCACCACATACTAGCCCATTCTAACACAGACCCCCCTTTTCCCTCCTCTTAAAAATTACACCTGCAAGGTCATTTGCTGCTGTTTTTCAGTGTGAGTTAGAAAGCAGCCGCTTTAAATATTTTTCCCTGCTTAGTAATGCATCTATCTCTGTGAAAACAGGTGTTTGAATGTGGTTTGTCCCTAATCTGGGGCCCCAAAGGAAGCCCCCACTGCCCTCACTCCTTCAGTGTTGTCTGCCTAATTCATTGACTAAGGTTTCAGCTTCTTAACAGAGCTTGGCCTATTTCCTAAGATGGGAATTGCTTCTCACCAGTATCATTGACTTGATAATTCTTAATTCTGGAATTGTTACTCTGTGCAAATACATGCAACAGATGGATTCCAATGATCACTTTTTAAATTTTTGCTATAGGTTTTCTTCTTCTCAGAATGATTGTAATAATTTCTTTTGTGTTGCATTTTAGATTATTTTTCCCTTTGCTCACAGATTTTTCTTTTTAAAGTACCTCAGTGTTCATTTCTTTCAAAGCTGACTTTGAAATCTTAACACAAACCTAATTGTCTCTGATAGCTCCTGTTATGGGACTATGTTCCAGTTTTCTTTAATTTTGAAATGAATATGAGGAGGGACAGGAAAGATGGAGCACTGGTTAAGAACACTTGCTGCTTTTTTAAAGAAATTGTTGTATGAACAGTACATAGGCTGAGGTGTAGCTCCATGGGATTCATCCCTAGCAGTACCCTAATGATGGGGGAGGTCCTTCTGTATATATGTTTATCTTATTGGTTGTTGAATAAAGCCAATAGGGGAGCAAGATAGGTGGGACAAGGAGTCGAGGAGAATTCTTGGAGTTGCGATGTGAGCCTGGTAAGAGAGGATGCATGCCTCTGGCGTCCTCGATCAGATAAGTGTTTAGAAACATATAGATAATGGTTATGGTCCATCCTATAACAGAGATAACAGATAAGAAATCCTAGTAATTAATTGCCAGCAGCATTGTACCTAATATTAGTCTGTTTTATTTTGGGGTTTCTAACATTGTGCTGGAAACGGGTGGCTGGCAGAAAGACGTATCTTTACAAAATGGTGTCAGGAGGTGTTAGAAGGCTAGGTATTTTGGCTTATGCTTGTAATCCAAGCACTGAGATAGGAAGACTCTGTGAACTGCAGGCTAACCAAATTATAAACACCCTGTTTCAGATTTGCATTTTGCCTGCTTGTATGCCTATATACCACATGCATATCTGGTGCCTGAGGAGATCAGAGAGTGTCTGGAGTTACAGACAATTGTGAGCTTCTATGTGGGTGCTGAGAATCAAACTCTAGCTCTCTGGAAGAACAACAAGTGTCCTTAACTTCACAGCCAACTGTCTAGTATCCAGGACACATTTTTAAAAATTGAAAAGGCTGGCACTTGAAAGGCAGAGACAACCAGATATCTGGGCATGGTCTACATCAGTGGTTTTCAACCTTCCTAATGCTACTTGCCTTTACTGACTCCTGAACATTGATATTTTCATCCCTCCTTCAAAATTGACTTTGCTACTATAGGAATCCTAATGTAAATATTATATTTCATAAATATTCACTTATATTTCAGTGGTCTTTGGCGACCCCATAAAAGTGTTGACTCCCCCTCACATACAAAGGGATCTCAATCCAGAGGTTGAGAACTTCTGGTCTACATAGTGAATGTGAGGACAGCCAAGTCTATGTAGAAAGATACTATTTATTACTATTTACTACAGGCCTAAGTAAAGTCAACTGATAGAGTGCTTATCTACCTAGGAGCTAACACCAAAGGGGCAATAAAAGCATTTAAAAATAATTTTTAACATCTGGCAAGTAAAAAATACCTTATGTTTGTTTTCACATTTGTTGTAACTTTCTTTTTATGAACTAATAGTGAGATAGTGTGACCTACAGTTAAAATTGAAAGAAAGCCCCATTTTATTTTATTTGGTTTTTCGAGACAGGGTTTCTCTGTATTGCTTTGGAGACTATCCTGGAACTCGATCTGTAGACCAGGCTGGCTTTGAACTCAGAGATCCGCCTGCCTCTGCCTCCCAAGTGCTGGGACTAAAGGCGTGCACCACCACGCCAGGTTCCCCATTTTATTTTTAAAGGTTCAGACAACACTTAAAAACTACTCATCAGCCTGCTCTACTCCTCACCCAGTGAAAGCAGAATCTGCAGACTTATGTCCCCCAAAACCTTCTTACCTGGAAACTGCTACCTGTATGTACAATAGTGCAGCCTCAGGTGGGTTTCCAGAAACAAGTAGCATTGTCCACTGCACAGTGCCTTCTGGAACACACGGTGGCGCTTATGAAAATGGTGAATGTGCTGGGATTGAACGGCCTGGTAAAGTGGCTCCTCTTCCTCACACATCTCTTCCCATAGCAGATTCCCTTGTTGATGCTGAGCCTGTCACTAGTCCATCTGAGCACCCTCAGCTGCCCTTCCTCAGCTGTCCTCGTGAACTGGAGCACTGTGCAGCAGACGAGCCTCTCTCAGACGATCTGTCCTCCGACGAGATTATCATCACTCAGACTGAGTTCTTGTCAGACAGTGAGGAGATCTACTATGACCCTTGTTTTGGTGGGGTGGCGATAGCACTTACTCATGGCTCGGTGCTGATTGAATATGCCCGGGGGGAACTTCATGCTACCACCCCTCTGACAATACCCAATCGAAGTTATCCTATCCGCACATCCCTTGTATTATACCAGCACAAAAACATGAATGTGCCCAACCATGGTTTTGATCTTTGCAGGATTAAATGTAAGCCCCGAGATTTAAGAAAAAAAAAGCCCGTAGACCCGGAGGGTCCTGATTTATCCATTGAAGCCAATTTACTCCGCACAATTCCTTCTCGTATTGCATCGACCTTAACCCACGACAATGTTGTCACTGTATCCCCTTACGCTTTCACTCACATTGCAGGACCCTACAACCACTGGGTCTGAAGGCTTTTCTCCCATAATGCCTTTGCTAGTGCAGTGTGTAGTTTCTACGGTGCTGTTCAAAAGAAAATCATATTGGTGTTTACTGTACCTTTATTTTGACCCATTTCAACTCTGAGGTAAAATTTGAAAGGGTACTTAACTGTGATTATATTTTGAGAATTGGTGGAACATACACATTTTCAGCAAACATAAAAGTTTTATAGTTTAAATACATAAAGAAGTATCTTGGTTAGGTGTTGACCATGATAGAATCATAGTTTGGTGCTTCAAATTAAGTCTGTTGACTATGAAGAGGATTTTAACAGGTTCATGCAATAAGTTGTAAAATCCAAGATACAGTGTTAATTCTATACATACAGTTCCTGGTGCTTAACCACATCAACACAGGTAGTAATGAGCTGAATGACTGTCATGGTGCCCTCCTTCCAGAATCTTCTGATCATTACTATCATGTCTGCACATTTCTTTGAAATAAACCAATGAAATGCTTTTTCTCTTAAAATATCCCTCCTGTATAAAATTATTCTTTATTCTAGTGGTGGTTGGAGGCTGTTCATTAACTGTAAATATATATATTTTGAAAAGCACTTTCTATTTTGAAAAGTAACTTGAAATAGTATGGTAACTGAATCCTATTGTCTATTGTGTATGCATATTTGCATAAAAGAGAAGTCAGTTATTATAGTGTAGCGTTCCATCCTGTAAACTGTGGTCTGTATTCAAATGATCTATGACATGTTCTCTACTTATGAAATATAGGATCTCAAAAAAAATTAAAAATACAAGGTACCACCAATATCAATTTACCCCTTTTAACTAGGAATTTAAAAAACAAATTGTCTCGTCAAGAGTCCTCATGATTGAAGTGTATATGACCCATGATAGATGTTTTCAAAGGGAGAAGGGACAAATTGAGACCAATCAAATTCTGCCAGTGTTTCAACATGAGGAAATAAATAGTTAATGTTTCCCTCCCAAATGAAAAGAAAATATCCGGTAGAAATAATTGAGGGGAAAACTCTATTGCTATTATTGCTTCAAGCCCAGCATCACACAGAAAAATTTGTACTTTAAGCCAATTAATCTGAACCTTTTGGGTTAAGGCAATTCAAACTTCTTTAGTTACCCCCTGTTTGAAGGTCACTTTAGTGTTCCAAAGTTCTTACCCAAACAAAAAACCTAGAACCAAGAAACTCAGTGAAGTCCACATGCCACAGGTGCTATGACAGGGACCCTAATGGTGCTTCTCAGATGCCATAGGAAGCCAGTAACTACCATCAAAATCTTGGTGCAAGCTCTCTAGAGAGTAACTTATTGAAATAATATATGGTGCAAAGTTTCTGACTAAGGGAAAGGAAGAATGGACAGTAAATAAGGAAGTGTCCATCGATATCCCATCATTTGCAAGTAGATTTATGTTCTTTTATTATATACAGTAAGGTAATTTGTTAACCAGATTTAGTATTTTGTGTGCCTTGGATTTCTGTTTAAAAACATCTCTATTTTTAGCCTAGGCTTTCTTACAGTTATAAGCTTATTGCTTATACAGTTATAAGCTTTCTTACAGTTATAAACAGAAATAAGTTTATTGATCTTCAGCTGCTTCAGTAACGTATTTGTTGGTACATGCTACCAGGAATACTCCCTAGTGAAGTTAGCTTTGAGATTTTAGTCCATAGCTCCCACTAGAAATTGTTTCCTTGCCATGCTCATGGGATAAAAATCTTCTTTCCCTGCATTTTATTCATCCATTCATCTATCCATCCCCCGATACACATTATTTGAATATTCTGGATTGAATTTGATTTTGTTTTTCCTTGAATCACCACCTAGGATACAATATTATAAAGACTGTTTAGGATTATTTTCCATGAAAACAGCAAATTACCTTTTAAAAAGAGCAGGAGTGATACATATTATAAATTCAAAGTAATTTTTTGTTTTGTTTTTGGGAGACAGAGTTTCACTAACAGCCCTAGCTATCCTAGCTCTGTAGACCAGGCTGGCCTAGAACCTGCATTTGCTAGGATTAAAGGTGTGCATCACCATGTCTGCTTCAAGAATGGTCTTTCTTAGGAAACAACAAAATAAAATGGTTTGAGATGACAGTCCCAAACTCATCTGACATTTTTTTCTATACCTTTATTTTACCGTAATTACAAATTTCTTTAACCTTGCTTGTGAAGCTCAAGTTAAGCTTGTTCATAGTGTAAAGTTGAACACACTGTTATGTATAAACTAAGGCTGTTCTTAGTTTGAACACTAAACGAATTGTTACATATAACTTACATGGTAAACCGGGTGTTGGTGGCGCACTCCTTTAATCCCAGCACTCTGGAGGCAGAGGAAGGTGGATCTCTGTGAGTTCAAGACAACCCTGATCTATGAGAGCTAGTTCTAGGACAGCCTCCAAAGCCACAGAGAAACCCTGTCTCAAAAAAACAAATAATAATAATAATAACAACAACAACATAAAAAAATAACAATTTACATGGTAGCCCACCTGACAATTTGTGACTGGGTCTATGTAGCCCTGGCTGTCCTGTAATGCACATAGTGGACCAGGTTAGCCTTCAATTCACAGAAACCTGCCTGTCCCTGCCTCTGCTGGGATTAAAACTGTGTACAACCCCTCTCCATATTGTTTTTGTTTTTCTTGTGCTTGTCAGTCTCATGTATATCTATATCCTATTTCCAATTTTCTACAAGGTACCAAATAGACCTTGTCATAAAACTTACTAAAATGCTATTGTTGGGACATTAGACTACTAGAGGTAAATTTTTACAACCTGTTCCTATCTTAAATGACCTCCCAAATGTAATCATTGCATTTGTGAGATCTGTAAGTGATCCATTCACCCCCATTACATAGCTGTATGGATATCTTTATGTAACCGACTTGATTCACATTAAGAAAACTTTCTACTACTTTTACTCCTTCTGATTAACATTTCACAATAGGATATGCAGAACTAACCCCAGATTAGCATGTGGGGAAAAGATATGACAATATTTCATGATATCCTCCGTCGGCTGTGAGCACACTGACCTGGAATGTGCCAAGTGAGTAGGTGTATGCAATCTTTAATACGAAGTTGCCTTCAGTTACACCGCTCAATGCATGGCATCATTTACCAATCTCACTGCAATAGAAGTCATAAAGCTCAGGCCCAGTGCCCACAAAACAGATGGCACCTGTCAGCTTGTAATTAATTGAAGGCTCTGTTCTTAGGAGGACTGTGCAAAAAAACAAAAAAAAAGAAAAACTTTAATTTTCTCAGCAAGAGGGTACTGTATTAATGTGAACTATCCTTATTTTTGTGCAAATCCTCCAGGGAGTTTCAGAGCAAGAAAGGTCATGATAAAATTAGGTCAAGATTCCCTTGGCTCTCAATATCCTGGGCTTTGTGCAGAGAAATTACTGACTTTACCTATGAAACTAGCCTATTAACTCTTGCCTCTAAACAAGGCAGTCCTTGTCTTTGCCATTCTCTCTGGATCCCAGTGTCTAGAATACTTAAAGATCTCTTAAGAAATGGCTGGTGAAAATGTGCTGAGTAAGGCATATTTTCCTTGTATATACTCCCTAGTTGTGGTAGCGCAATTTCTTTCTGCCCTTCACCTAGTTAAGTGCCAGCCGTGAATTGTGATGTGACATCTTTGCAAATGGGAATGCTGGTTCATTGCACATGGCACTCCTAAACCTGCTCTGCTTTGTCACTTTGATGTGGCATATTTAGCCATTGTTTGGTTGTGTAAGCCATCTAGATTTTTCCAAATGAAGTGGGCATTTCATAATGTATTTCTCACAGCATTAGAAAGTAAACAATGCCATCCTGTTGTCAGACATAGTTTTCCCAAATTTTTCTGAGCACATTAGGACAGGCTTGTGTATTAGCTGTAGAGCTGGACTTGTTTTTTAAGAGTCTTGTCTTGTGTAGCGAGTCATGAACTATGGCTGAGGATAGTAAGAACTTCTTTTTCCACTTTTTCTTCTGAAACTGTGTCTCACTGTGGAGCCCTGGCCAGCCTGGAACTCGAGACATATACCAAGCTGGTTCCTGTACTGTTGTGACCTTTATCCAGAACTTTGTAAGTGCTGGGTTAGCACTCCTAAAAACCTTATTTCCCTTTCTAGACCTTTGTTTTTATGGTTTTTGTTTTGTTTTGTTTTGTTTTGTTTTGTTTTGTTTTTTGAAGGGAATCATGTCTCTATATAATCTTTCCAAGGCTTTTTCTGGGTCCTCTGCCTTCCTTTTTAAGACATTATCTCATTATGTAGTCCAGGCTGGCTTTAAACTGTTTTGCTTCAGCATGCAGGATGATAGAAAACAACACAAATAATACAGTGCTTGCCTACCATTCTGGGAGACCCCTGTGTCCAATACCCAGTACTGCAGAAAGGATCAAGTGTGTTTGTGCGGAACTTTTCTGTTGGAGGTAAATACACTTTAAATGTAAGTGAAATATGCCTATTTGATTGTGTGACTTTTCCACTCCCATCTGCTAGAGTGCAGTCAGGTAGTTTTAGTCACTGGTTCTTATATGCAGGTAGACTTTCCCTATCCTACAAACTTAATTGTTGATAGGAACTTGCTTCCTAGGGTAAATTTAGTCTTGAAATTTTTCAAGTGCAATAGTAACACCCCTGGTATACTGGAATTAGAATCTTCTTATCTCAAACCACCAGCTCAGACCTTACAGCCCCACATTAATCACTACACATAGTTTCCTAAATAAATCTTTGGTGATGAGCCACCAGAAGCTCTGGTGATTAAGTCAAGGTGCAGAACAGGGAATTATGCTTCTTTCAGCAACCAAAGTTAGATTTCCATGCCCAAAAAACCAAGAAGTACTTGTATTTCCTATCTGTTCTCTTCAAATTTTAACTGAAAGTAGATTTTAAAATCAAGGTAGAATTTTGAAAATAAATAGGACATTAACAAAATGATAAGTTTCTCTCCCTAAGTGTGGTCCACACACCTTTAACTCTAGTTCATGGGGAGGTAAAGGCACTAGGATTTTAGGTTGAAGGCCAGCCTCAGCTACATGACAGCATGTCTTACAGACTGCATTGTACAACATCCCACCCCTACCCCCACCCCCCACTATTGAAGCTTAGAAAACAGTTCTCTCTTGACTGCAAGCGACAAGAATGGCCAGTAGCTTACCCCATGTTACACAGCAAGTCAAAAGGGGTATGAGTGATATGATTATGGGTGCTTTGCTTCCACGTCACATGTGTGCCATGTGTGCTGTGCCCATAGAAGCCAGTAGTGTCCCCTAGAAACTGGAGTTAGTCTGTTGTGAGCTGCCATCCTGATGCTGGAAATCTAACCAAGGTCCTGGAAAAGTAACCAGTAAGCCACCCATGGATGAAAATGCTCTTAAATTTCAAGTGCTACATAAAGTTATGCAGGAAAAGCAGAATTGAGGTTTTACTAAATAGAGCTAATAGGAAAATATAAAAATTATTTATAAAACAGTTTTGTTTCCATTGTTTACCTACCTGTTTTCATTCACATATTAAAAGTCTCAAATTCTCATTTGTTCATTAAAGCTTAGTTTTATGGTTTGTATTTTGTTCTATTAAGTGTGTGTGTATATATCCCAGAACCAAATGCTCTGATCCCTAGGTGCAGGAATTGCATGTGTGAACCACCTTATTTGTTGATCAAAAGCATAAGAGATTGCCTTTACTATTAATAGGAAGACAAATTTTCCACAAAGTAGTGTTTTAAATAGTACTTTTAAAGCCCCTTACAATCAAAGTTTAATATATTTGTTTAAATATATTGAAATGAAGGTTTCTTGAAGGAAATTGTGCTAGCTGAACAATTCTAGTTCCTAGCCCTTTGTTAGAAATATGCAAAGTTACTATTTGTAACAGGTTGTATTTTCTCTAGATTGTATGGGTTGTCTTGTTGGGTTGGGTTGGGTTGGGTTTGAGAGAGAGAGAGAGAGAGAGAGAGAGAGAGAGAGAGAGAGAGTTCCACTTCGTTTGTAGCCAAATAACCTTTACCTAGAGAGTTAACAATACTGGATGTGTTTGTAAAGTTTTTGGTACTCTCCCTATAGGGTATTTCACCAACCTCTATATGCAAGTAGTATATATATTTTGACTATTGTGATACATTCTTTGGCACAAAATGGGGGAGGCAGTCCAAGTAACTTTGAGGATTCGGGTGAGACCTCTTAAGCTGGCGATTCCTCTTCCCAGCACCTGTTTGTGCTGTGATGAAATAGCTTGATTGTATTAGACTTTACAAACACAGCTCATAGGAAAGATTAAATATTTTTAATGCAAGGTATGGTCATATTTTTTTTAGCCTTGATGGAGTTAACATTGTGATAGGTGCTTTAAGAGAAATATTTTTCCAGAAATGGTTTTATAGCTAAAACTGGGCAGCTTTTGCATTGTGATGTGTGGGTATCCTGAAGTTGTTCCATAAGGAGAAAGTTGTACCATCCATGGCAGAGAGATCAACATGAATTTCTATTGGGATCATTTTCTCTCATATAGTGCAAATGAACAAGAAACAGCAGAATGTGTATCACCCGTGCGAGGGAAACATTCACGCTCCTTGCCATATGCAGCCACGCCGAATTTCCTCCAGGCACATGGTAACTTTCCTAAGTGAAGGTCTGGCCACCTGACTCTTGGGATATGTTTACTGTTGGTTTTCACCTATTGCCATCCTGTTGCATCTTCTTAATTGAAGTATTATAAAAAATGCTGTCAGGATTGCAAAAAAAAAAAAGTTTAGTTCTTCGCATATGAGGGAAACAGTTAAGGAGAGAGAGCACTTCATCGTGTCAAAGGGAAAGATAATCTTAATGGTTTTAACCCACGGTCAATACTGAGTCCTCTGCATAGAATGGAACACTTCCTAGCAGTACTTGAATACTTGGGAGTTGGAATTGCATGTTACTTGAAAGATCTAATTAAGCTAAATTTTGGTGCACAGCAATTGTACATTATTTCATGTTTATGTAGCAAAATACATTGAAATGTAATAGTATTGAAATCATAAATGTAAAAATAGTTGTGGAAATTGTCTTATTTTCCTTATATCTCATTTGTTTAAAGCATAAATTTTCTTTTATTGTTATAACTAAATAAGGATAAATGAATACTGTAATTGAAAATATATTTTAAGTCTTTGTCATGTGTTTTGTTTGTTTTTTTTTTTAAGCTATTGCAAATTGTATCATTCCTGATTATATACAACTTTGTGGGTGGTATAAAATAAATTTTATACTTCTATTTTGTACCTGGTAGTCTAATTTTTCTTTCCTCCTCAAATTCTCTTTTGTTGTTGTTGTTTTGTTTGTTTTTTAACTTCTTTAGCTCCTCAGTGGTTGTGCATGCCCTTAATTCCAGTCCTAAGGGGGCAGAAAGGAGGGATCTCTGTGAGTTCGAGGCCAGCCTTGTCTACAGATCTAGTTCCAGGACAGCCAGGGCAGAACAAAGAACACACACACACACACACACACCATGTTTAAGCAGAAAATCAGTGCTTTATGTCACACTTAGCACACCCAAAAGCTCCAGATCATTTCATAAAACCCAAAGAAAGAGTTGTTTTCATTGTATTTTATGTGCCTGGGTGTTTTGCCTGCATGCATGTCTGCGCCAAGTGCATGTCTGGGGCCTATTAAAGCTAGAGAGGGCATTCAATTTCCTAGGATTGGACACAGATTAGCCACCATACAGGTACTGAGAACCCAGGTCCTTGGGAAGAGCAGCCCATGCAAATACACACCCCATACTGCCTGTGGGTCTCTTTTTTTTTTTTCTCCTGTAGGGAAACAAATCCAAAGCCTCAAACTTGCCAGGCAATTGTTCTTAGCACTGAGCTACAGCCTTGGGAGGCAGAGGCAGGAGGATCTCTGAGCTTGAGGCCACCCTGCTTTACAGAGTGAGTTCCAGGATAACGAAGGCTATAAAAGAACCCTATCTTGAAAACCAAAGGAAAAGACAAAACAAAAAATGTAAACAACACTCTGTGCTAAGCACCCAGGATCTATGAACTGTCTAAGTATTATTGATTGAATATCTGCCCTCCAGCCACAAATTTCATATATTAACATCCTAAGGGCTAATTTAATTATCTAAAAAGCATTATCCTTCAAAAGAATAGAATTCAAAAGATAAAATCATTGACCTTATAAGAGATGTTCCAAGGATGATGCCTTTACTCAGTTGGAGTACTTGCCTGGCATGCATGGAAACTAAAATCTTTGTACCATATGAGGACAGGATGAGAAAGAACTAGGCAAACTGTATCTGCAGGAGGGACCTCAACCAACCATACTGGCATCCCAAAGTTCAGACTATCTTCTAAAGTGTTTTGCCTGCACATATGTCTGTACAACATGTGAGTGGCCAGTGCCTGGCAGAAGTCAGAAGCTGGTCTCAGATTCCCTGAAACTGGAGGTTATGACAGTTTTGAGGCACCATGTGGAGCTAAGTCCTCTGCAAAAGCAACAATGGCTCTTAACTGCTGAGCCAACCCTTTAGCCCCGATCTCAGAATTTTAGTCTTCAAGAACTTGAGAAATAGCACCAGACATTTTGAGTTTGGTTAAGACTCAAAATGGCAAAGCAAAAACCTGTGGGAATATTTGAACTGCAGAGCTGAGGGAAAACAACAACACAGCTATGCGTGAGAGCACTGACTTGTTATCAGCCTGCCAGAGGCTGGGACAGGAAGATCACTGGAGCCTATGACCTGACTACCAGCCTCAGCAGCACAAGGAAACCTTCCTAAGAGGAAAGGGAGAGAAAGAGCAGTATGGAGCGAGTCCACTTGATACAGTGCTTGCCTACATACATAAAGCCCCTAGGTTCCACCTTTATTAGTACATAAATGGAGCATGGTGACACAGACCTGCAACCCTAGCACCTGAAAGATGGAGGCAGGGAGATCAAAAGTCAAAGGTCATCGTTAGCTATATAGAGTGAGTCAAGGTTGCCATGGCTGCATGAGACTGTCTACAAAACAAAAGAAAGCGTCAACAACTGTGACAGTTAAGGGTAGAGGTGCTTTCTGTCAAGCCTGAGCAAGGTCTAAATTCAATCCCTAGAACACACATGATATTAGGCTAGAACCAGTTCCCACAAGTTCTCTCATCCCGACATATTTTCTGTATGAACACACGTGGACACATACATACCTCTCAATAAATAGGTATGTATTTGGTATAAATATAAATAGAAAAAAATATAAATAGAAAAAAAAGGTATAAATAGAAAGATTGTGGGTTATTAAAACCCACTTTTGGGTTTGTCAGAGTACCCACTTTTTTTGTTTGTTTTTTGTTTTTTGTTTTTTGGAGACAGGGTTTCTCTGTGTAGCTTTGGAGCCTATCCTGGCACTCACTCTGTAGACCAGGCTGGCCTTGAACTCACAGAGATCCGCCTGCCTCTGCCTCTGCCTCCCCAGTGCTGGGATTACAGGCGTGCACCACCAACACCCGGCCTCAGAGTACCCACTTTTCAAAATGCAATTGAAAGCATCTGGGAATGGTATGAGCCCACACAGGTAGATGAAATAAAACGTGAAGTCCACAATTACTCCCATGTATACACAGTCAATTGTCTTTCAACAATGTGGCATAACAAAGTATTTAACAGAAGAAATCACTATTCCAAATTGGTGCTGAGGAAACTTTTTTTTTTGGGGGGGGGGGGATTCCAGACAGGGTTTCTCTGTAGCTTTGGAGCCTGTCCTGGAACCCAGCTCTGTAGACCAAGCTGGCCTCCAACTAACAGAGCTCTTGTCTCTGACTCCGTAATGCTGAGTTTAAAGTGTGTGCCACCACTGGCCATCTTACTACACTGGATTTTTGTTTGTTTGTTTCCGGAGATAGGGTTTCTCTGTATAACAGCCCTAGCTGTCCTGGAACTGACTCTGTAGACCAGGCTGGCCTCGAACTCACAGAGATCCACCTGCCTCAGCCTCCCGAGTGCTGGGATTAAAGGCGTGCATCTAGGACAGCCTACAAAACAATACAGAGAAACCCTGTCTCAATAAACCAAATAAATAAATAAATAAATAAATAAATTAATAAATAAATAAATAAAATGAGGTTTGTGAATGAATGGGATGGGCACAGTACTCCATCCTTTCATCCCAACACTTGAGAGGCAGAGGCAGGCAGATCTCTGAATTTGAGGCCTGCCTGGTCTACATAACACCTTCCAAGTCAGGTAGAGCTATTGTGGTAGTTTGAAAGTGATTGGCCCCCTCATAATCTCATAGGGAGTGGCTCTGTTAGGAGATGTGGCCTTGTTGGAGAAAGTGTGTCACTGTGGGGGCAGGCTTTGAGGCTTCCTATGCTAGAATTCTACCCAGTGTCTCAGTTCATTTTCTGTTGCCTGCAATATGTAGGACTCCCAGCTACGACTCCAGCACCATGTCTACCTGCATACCAGCATGCTCCCCTTGCTGATGGCCTGATATGATAATGGCCTGAACTCTGAAACTGTAATCAAGTTACCAAAATTAAATGCTTTCCTTATAAGAGTTGCCATGGTAATGGTGTCTTCTCACAGCAATAGAAACCCTAAAACAGCTATGTAGAAGGCCATTTCTGAAGACACAAAAGAACCAAAACAGTGAATGAAAAACACCAAGAAAGAAGTATCCTGGGGTGCTGGAGAGATGGCTCAGAGGTTAAGAGCACTGACTGCTCTTCCAGAGGTCCTGAGTTCAATTCCCAGCAACCACATGGTGACTCACAACCATCCGTTATGAGATCTGGTGCCCTGTACTGGTGTGCAGATATACATGGAAGCAAAATGTTGTGTACATAATAAATAAATAAATAAAATCTTAAAAAAAAAAAGTATGCTGGTAGTGTATGCTTTAAATTCCAGTACTCTAGGGGCAAAGACAAGTTGGCCTCTAAGAGTTCAAGGCCAGGCTGGTCTGTATAGTAAATTCCAAGCCTGCCAAGTAAGATGTCTCAAACAAACAAACGAGGCGGCATTCTTATGCATCAGTAACAAAATGGTTTCCAGTTGTCATAGGAAATACTTATGGTATGGAGTATTCAGTATGGGCTGATTGACAGGAAAAGCATCCATGAGGAAGACGAAAGAGTAAACCGAATTTCAAATGTCTTCTATGTTCCGTGTGTGTGTGTGTGTGTGTGTGTGTGTGTTTTAAAGATTTATTTATTTACTATATATACATACAACATTATGCCTCCATATATGCCTGCACGCCAGAAGAGGGCACCATTACATTACATCTCATTACAGATGGTTGTGAGCCACCATGTGGTTGCTGGGAATTGAACTCAGGACCTCTAAGAACAGCCAGTGCTCTTAACCTGTGAGCCATCTCTGCAGCCCCGCTGAAGTGTGTTTTATGATGAATTAAGATCATAAAATTCACACTGTGGTTTCAGCTCAGTGTCAGAGTCCTTGATTGGCATATTTAAGTCCCCGGGCTCAATCCCAAGTGTCACATATGCAATAAGTAAGATAAATGACAAAATTATGTTTAAATGTTAATTATATTTTTATTAGAATCAAAATTGCCAAAAACCTGGATGGTGGTGGTGGTGGCCCATGCCTTGATGACATGATTCTTTAAGTGTTAAACATCAGACCCATGTTCAGAGTCCAGCACCCATATAAAAGCTGAGCATCTGCTTTAACCTCAAGTAACCTCGAGTGGCTGTAACGCCATCACTGGCGATGTGGGGATAGCCAGGCCACTGGGGCTTACAGGGTGTGGAGAAATGTTACTGGACAGCACACTTCTAGCTTAAACTGCAAGCTCCAGCTTCAGTGAGAGACCATGTATCAAAAAATCAGTAGAGGGCTGGAGAGATGGCTCAGAGGTTAAGAGCACTGACTGCTCTTCCAGAGGTCCTGAGTTCAATTCCCAGCGACCACATGGTGGCTCACAACCATCCATTATGAGATATGGTGCCCTCTTCTGGTGTGCAGATATACATGAAAGCAGAATGTTGTATACATAATAAATAAATAAATAAAATCTTAAAAAAAAAAATCAGTAGAGCAGAGCTGGAAAGATGGCTCTGTGGTTACAGAACATGCTGCTTTTTCCAAGAGTCTGAGTTCAGGTCCTGGGTTCAGCCACATAAAGGTGGCCCACCCCCAACCGATGACTCCAGCTCCAGGGGATCTGACAGTCTCTTCTGTCCACCAAAGATACCCTACACTCCTGACTAATACAGACTCATGCACATACATATAAATACACATAAATATGAAAAAATAAGTGGAGGCTTAGAGGTTAAGAACACTGGCTGGAGCCAGGCAATCATGGTACCTTTAATCCCAGCACGTGGGAGGCAGAGGCAAGCACATCTCCGTGAGTTCATAGGCCAGCCTGGTGTACAGAGTGAGTTCTAAAACAGGTTCCAAAGCAACGGAGAAACCCTGTCTCAACCCTTTCTTGCCCCAACACACACACACAAAGCACAGGCAGCTCCTCTAGAAGACTTGGGTTTGATTACAAACACTAACATGGCAGCTTTCAATAGTCAATAACTTCAGTTTCAGGAGATCCTATGCCCTTGTCTGGCCTCCATTGACACAAGGTATATAGGTGGTGCAGACATAAATGCAATCAAAACATCTATACACATAAAAATGTTAGGAAAAGTTGTAAAAACAAAAAGAGTCGTGTCATGTTATGGTGGCACACACCTTCTATTCCAGCACTCAGGAGGCAGAGGCTGGTGGATCTCTGTGAGTTTAAGGCCAGCCTGGTCTACAGAATGAGTTCCAGGACAGCCAGGGCTATAGAGAAACCCTGTCTGGAAACAAACAGACAAACAAACAAATGCTGTAGGGATATAGAGATGGCTCAGTGGTTATGAGCACTAGCTTCTCTGTTCTTCTAGAGATCCTGGGTTCAATTCCCAGAAACTACATTGGATTATGTAGTTTCTAATCTAATACCCTCTTACAGTGTGCACTATTACAGGCAGATAAAGCACTCATATACATAAAATACACAAATAACCCATTGCCAGATGGTGATGGCATATGCCTTTAATACCCAGAAGTAGGCAGATCTCTGAGTTAAAGGCCACCATGGATTACAGAGCCAATTCCAGGACAGCCAGGACTGTACAAAGAAACCCTATATTGATTAAAACAAACAAACAAACCAAGCAAACAATCAAAAAATTGCAATAGAAGAGACATTCAGTATTGACCTCTGACTTTCATACACCCATACCCTGGCAAGCATAAATGCAAACACATCCAAATAGATAATGACAATAAATAAAACTTTTTTTAAAAAGTGGTGCATGGTGGGGGAGGTTGGAGGTGACACATTTCTTGTGGGAATGTAAAACAGTCCAGCCACTGTAAAAATAGCTGAACATTATGTCAAAAGATAAATATAGGATTATCATATGACCCAGATTTGTACTCAGGGATACAGTCTATTCCCCCAAAGAATTGGAAACAGTTCAAAGAAAAGATTGTGAGTGTTCTGCAGAGGAGGGAAATGAGAAAAAAACATTTGAAGCAGGGTCAGATTATATAATCCTGACTAAACTGCTATTTACCATGTCGTCAAGGCTGGCCTTCAATTTGCAGTAATCCTCCTGCCTGGGAATCTAGGGATGCACCACCGTGGCCAGCTGGAAAGCTCTTTTCCTTCCAACATTATAGGTTCTGCTGGGGTTCTATAATAAAAGACAGATTATAAATCAAAGGTTTGGTTATTGAGTAGGTTTATAAGTCATCATAACAAAGGAATAATGAATTTAGAGTGAGGTGGGCATGACAAAATCCCGTATCAACTTAAACTATCCCTTGACCAGAAACAAAAAAAAAGTAACAAGAAACACTAATTACGTTTGTGCTGGTCTGTTATCTCAGATAGTCAGGAGGCTGAAGCAGAAGGAGTACAAGTTCTAGGCCTGCTTTTTTATAAACTGAAATCATGTTCAGCTCAGGCAACTCTATGAGACCCTGCCTCCAAGAACAAAGAGGGAAAAACAGAAAGAAGATTGGGTAACTGAGTGTTTTTGCAGAATGCTCAAGGCTTGAGATAGTCTCTGATAACATATTCTCTCTGTCTCTGAGAGAAAACATCATGACCAAGATGGCTTTGTTTATTTATTTTATTTTTTGAGACAGGATCTATGTAGTCCTGGCTGTCTTGGAACTTGCTGTGTAGACCAGGCTGGCCTATATAAATCCTCCTGCCTCCTGATTTCTGGGACCAAATGCTGGTCCACCCCAATGGCTATTTTTTTTTTTTTTTTTTTTTTTTTTTTTTTTTTTTTTTTTTTTTTTTTTGGCTTTTTGGCTTTTTGAGACCAGGTTTCTCTGTGGCTTTGGAGGCTGTCCTGGAACTAGATCTTGTAGACCAGGCTGGGGCCGAACTCACAGAGATCCACATCCCTCTGCCTCCCTAGTGCTGGGATTAAAGGCATGTGCCACCAACACCCAGCCAAAAGAAACTTAACTTTTTTTTTAATGCTTTGAATTACTGCCAGGTTATTAAAGAGACAATGACTTGAAATGAATAAAAATAAAAGAGAGCCAATCAATAACAATGAAATTTTTGTTTGTTTGTTTTTCGAGACAGGGTTTCTCTGTGTAGCTTTGGAGCCTATCCTGACACTCGCTCTAGAGACCAGGCTGGCCTGTAACTCACAGAGATCCGCCTGCCTCTGTCTCCTGAGCGCTGGGATTAAAGGCATGTGCCACCAAAGCCCGGTTTGCTAAATGTAATTCTTAAATCAAAGAACTTCTTAGTGTGACATTCTGGTTTCCTTCAGGGTTGGTCATAGATGCTTGAAAGTAGAACTAACCTGCTAGATAGTGGTAGCACACGCCTTTAATCTTAGCACTCGGGAGGCAGAGTCTGGTGGATCATAAATGCTCTTCATTGAACTGCCTGTCTAGGTCCTTTTTGTTTGTTTTTAAAACTGTTACCAGCTGGGCACTGGTGGCACACGCCTTTAATCCCAGACAGAACTCTGGAGGCAGAGACAGGTGGATCTCTGTGAGTTCGAGATCAGCCTGGTCTACAAGAGCTAGTTCCAGATGTCCAGCCTCCAAAGCCACAGAGAAAAACAACAAAACAAAAAAAGTTTCCCTATCCTCTCTTGCCTAGCTCTTGGCTGTTCAGCTCTTTATTAGACCAATCAGAAGGTTCATGACCACTATTAACTACGGTTCCGAGGAATCCTCTGTCCTCTTCTGACCTCTAGGCACACACCTGGTGGACATACATCTATGCAGGCAAAAACCCTCTAGAAATTAAAAAAAAAAAATCTAATAAAAGCATCTGTAAAAATTCTGCCTTGTATAGTGGTTTGTTCCTGTAAATCATGGGCACTATGAGGCTGAGGCTGGAGGATTTTTGAGCCCAGAAGTTCTTTTCCTGTTAGGGCTACATGTGGGAAAATATATACACATATGTATAGAAGGTCTTTCTTTGGACTGCCAGCTCTTTAATAATTACACTGGTACTTTTTTTTTTTTCTTGGTTTTTTGAGACAGGGTTTCTCTAACAGCCCTAGCTGTCCTGGAGCTGGCTCTGCATAGACCACGGTGCCCTCAAACTCAGAGGTCTGCCTGCATCTGCCTCCCGAATGGTGGGATGAAAGGCATGTGGCACCACAGCCCAGCTGAGAAATTTTTAATGTGCATTGTTCTTTTTACCTGTATGTATGTTTGCGTGAGGACAGTTGTGAGCTGCCATGTGGGTGTGGGGAATTGAACCTGGGTCTTTGGAAGAGCAGTCAGAACTATCAACCCCTGAACCATCTCTCCAGCCCCAACACAGAGACTTTTTATTAATTATGAAAGTTTGTCCTTAAGTTGGGCTTGTTTCCAACTAGCTCTTAACATTTAACATTAACCGGTTCAAGTTAATCTACATTCTGCCACACGGCCTGTTATCTCTCCTCAGTACCATGCATCCAACTTCTTCCAAGTCTGGCTGAGGCTGAGTAGTCTCTCTCTCTGTCTCTCTGTCTCTCTGTCTCTTTCTGTCTCTGTCTCTGTCTCTGTCTCTCTCTCTCTCTCTCTCTCTCCCTCCCCCCTCTCTCAAGTCCTGCCTATCCTCTCGCCCTAGACAGGCGAGGTAAGACAGACAGTGTACAAAGAGACCTACTTCACACAGGATGCAGAAAAAGATTATCCCACCACATATGAATGCATCAGCATATCTTCCAAATACTGATTTTTTTAAAATGCCAATTACATCTCCATTTTATTTATTTATGTGTTTATTTTTGTTTGACACAGGGTTTCTCTGTGTAGCTTCGGAGGCTGGACATCCTGGAACTACTAGCTCTTGTAGACTAGGCTGGACTAGATCTCACTATGATCCGCCTGCCTCTGCCTCCGGAGCGCTGGGATTAAAGGAGTGCGCCACCGACGCCCGGCTACTCCTCCATTTAAAAACACAATTTGGACCTTACACGTTCATCCTTCCAAGCAACTCGCCCTGGAAGAGAAAAGTGGACAGCCGGCCACAAGATGGCGGCCAACCCGGCGTGACCACGTGACTCCCATCGGCTCCCTCTCCCTCTCCCTCTCTCTCCAGCCCCGCGTGAGGAAGGAAGCGCGTTAGCCTCAGAGCCGGGCACAAGGACAGCAGCCAGCCAGCTCAGTGTTAAGCGAAGCCAAGGTAACCCGGCTGGGGCACGCTCTGACTCCAGCAACTGGGGAGGGCGCACGCGGGGAGCGCGCACGCCGAACGTCCCTCCGCAGGCGCCCGTTCCTCCGGGAGTCGGGAGGAGGTGGGGCGTGGAGGGAGACGGCCAAGTTGGCGCATGCGCCTGAGCTTGACGGGGTTTGAAATGGCTTCGGTGTTAAA